GGGTTGTATATGGTTCTGTATAGAACCTTTTTGCTATATAGCAGTAATGTTAACCAATCGGTTCTCAGTAGCCGTAATGCCGACCAGTCGGCGCTCAGTAGCCGTAATGCTGAGCAGACGTCGCTTAGTAGCTGTAATGCCGACCAGTCGGCGCTCAGTAGCTGTAATGCCGACCAGTCGGCGCTCAGTAGCCGTAATGCTGAGCAGACGTCGCTTAGTAGCTGTAATGCCGACCAGTCGGCGCTTAGTAGCTGTAATGCCGACCAGTAGGCGCTTAGTAGCCGTAATGCTGACCAGACGACGCTTAGTAGCTGTAATGCCGACCAGTCGACGCTCAGTAGCCGTAATGCCGACCAGTCGACGCTTAGTAGCCGTAATGCCGACCAGTCGGCGCTTAGTAGCTGTAATGCCGACCAGTCGGCGCTCAGTAGCCGTAATGCCGACCAGTAGGCGCTTAGTAGTCGTAATGCTGAGCAGATGTCGCTTAGTAGCTGTAATGCCGACCAGTCGGCGCTCAGTAGCCGTAATGCCGACCAGTAGGCGCTTAGTAGTCGTAATGCTGAGCAGATGTCGCTTAGTAGCTGTAATGCCGACCAGTCAGCACTCAGTAGCCGTAATGCCGACCAGTCTGCGCTCAGTAGCCGTAATGCCGACCAGTAGGCGCTTAGTAGTCGTAATGCTGAGCAGACGGCGCTTAGTAGCCGTAATGCCGACCAATCGACACTCAGTAGCCGTAATGCTGAGCAGTCGGTGCTCAGTAGCCGTAATGCTGACCAGTCGGCGCTCAGTAGCAGCAATGCCGACCAGTCGAGGGCACATAGCCATAATGCCGACCAATCGGCGCTCAGTAGCCGTAATGCCAAGCAGTCGGCGCTCAGTAGCCATAATGCTGACCAGTCGACGCTCAGTAGCGGCAATGCCGACCAGTCGGGGCACAGTAGCCATAATGCCGACCAGTCAGCACTCAGAAGCCATAATGCCGACCAGTCAGCACTCAGTAGCCATAATGCCGACCAGTCGGCGCACATTAGCCGTAATGCTGACCAGTCGATGCTCAGTAACGGTAATGCTGACCAGTCGATGCTTAGTAGCGGTAATGCTGACCAGTCGGCGCTCAGTAGCGGCAATGCCGACCAGTCGGGGCACATTAGCCATAATGCCGACCGGTCGGCGCTCAGTAGCGGTAATGCCGATCAGTCGGAGCTTAGTAGTGGTAATGATGCCCAGTCGGCGCTCAGTAGCGGCAATGCTGACCAATCGATGCTTAGTAGTGGTAATGCTGACCAGTCGACGCTCAGTAGCGGTACTGTAATCGTCCTGCTGCCCAGACCCTGTTTGCTATAGAAAAATGGAAAGATGCTGGTTTTCTTAGGGTTTTTTTACTTCATTGTACTTTCCAATCCTGTCTTCCGCCCAGTGACCGCTGGGATAGGCTCCAGCACCCCACCGCGACCCAGAAAGATAAGCAGTTTAGATGGTGTGCGCGCGCGTGTGTGTGTGTGTGTTATTAAGTTTCACTTCATATTTTTAGCCATTCAGCTCTTTTCATCAAAGACTCGCTCATGGGCGCCCCCTAAAGTTTTGCATATTTTTATATAACAGTAGAAATAGGAAGTGGTCTGAAACGGCTTTAGCCATAATTGTCCTTTTTCTTTCGCTGTCTGCTCGTGTCGGTAGGGCGCTGCGAGTGAACTGCTCTTCAGGTGTAGGCGTTACTCACTCTAAGTCGAACATCACTCTGACAACGTAAACGAAAATCCACAACGGAAATATTTGCCGTCCCTAGTAGGATCGGTTCTCAGCTGTCGCCAACTTTGTTTTTCGTGCTGTTACATAATTCCTGAGTCACACCTGAGAGGCACTGTTGTCCAATCCGGGAAGTGTGTGTGTTTGTTGGTGAGTGAGTCAGTGAGCGAGCGAGAAACACATGCCTCCCTCTCCGGGTTCTTGGCTGTGTCTTGCTCTTCTGCTCTCTGACCCAGTTGGTGTTCTGGGTTCCTCTCTTACTTTCTTGGCCTCGCTGTGCGGTTCTCTAGTCCCTCTGGTTCAGTCCGTCACGTGTTGCCAGAACCAGTCTTTCCTGTCTCGTGTTTTGCAGGGTGGTTCTTGTTTTCCTATGCTAAGAAGAGAATCCACACGGCAGGTTTGTTTTTTCTGTCAACAGAGCTGTGTGTACAGTGTTTTACATCCTAATTATATTTGTTTAGTTTTTGAAGCACCTCATGCCCTCCTTCATAGACAATATTTGCTGCTGGTGCTGATATCTGTTTCAGAAGAAAACCTCGTATCTCCACAATGGACGGCAGCGACACAGCAATATACACCAGTCAGGCATAACATTCTGACCACCTCCTTGTTTCTGCGCTCATTGTCCATTTTATCAGCTCCACTTACTATATAGGTACACTTTGTAGTTCTACAGTTACAGACTGTAGTCCATCTGTTTCTCTGATACTTTGTTAGCCCCCTTTTACCCTGTTCTTCAGTGGTCAGGACCCCCATGGACCCTCACAGAGCAGGTACTATTTGGGTGGTGGATCATTCTCAGCACTGCAGTAACACTGACGTGGTGGTGGTGTGTTAGTGTGTGTTGCGCTGGTCTGAGTGGATCAGACACAGCAGTGCTGCTGGAGTTTTTAAACACCTCAGTGTCACTGCTGGACTGAGAATAGCCCACCAACCAAAAATATCCAGCCGACAGCGTCCTGTGGGCAGCGTCCTGTGACCACTGATGAAGGACTAGAGGACGACCAACACAAACTGTGCTGCAGCAGATGAGCTATTGCCTCTGACTTTACATCTACAAGGTGGACTGACAAGGTAGGAGTATCTAATAGAGTGGACAGTGAGTGGACACAGTGTTTAAAAACTCCAGCAGCACTGCTGTGTCTGATCCACTCGTACCAGCACAACACACACTAACACATGACCACCACGTCAGTGTTACTGCAGTGCTGAGAATGATCCACCACCCAAATAGTACCTGCTCTGTGAGGGTCCATGGGGGTCCTGACCACTGAAGAACAGGGTAAAAGGGGGCTAACAAAGTATCAGAGAAACAGATGGACTACAGTCTGTAACTGTAGAACTACAAAGTGCACCTATATAGTAAGTGGAGCTGATAAAATGGACAATGAGCGTAATGTTCATACACTTATCTTTCTGGGTTGCGGGGGGGGGAACTGGAGCCTATCCCAGCGGTCATTGGGCGGAAGGCAGGAAACACCCAGAACAGGTCACCAGTCCATCTCAGGGCTGACACAGACATGTACATTCACACACACACACACCTAGGGTCACTCCAGTTAGCCTGTCTGCATGTCTTTAGACTGTGGAAGAAAACCGGAGAACCCGGAGGAAACCGTATGCGTATGTCGTATGTCCTCTCATCAGGAGATCGTGAGTTGGATCTCTGGTGATGCTCTGGTGATGCTCTGGTGATGCTCCTAGCCCTCTGGGTGGGCAGGATGCCCCTTCCCCATCACTCAGCGCAATACTAGTCAGCGCAGGCGTCTGTTAGCTGACGTAACAGATCTTGGCGCTTTTCTCCGAGTGCGCTCGGCTGTCCAATGACGTTGCTTTAGCGGCGCTTCACTGGTCTCGGAGGAAGCCTGTGCTAGCCTTCGCCCTCCTAGCGATGGTGGTGTTGTGACTGGGGGAGTCCTGACTAGTGGGTGGAATTGGATACGACTAAATTCGAGAGACAATTGTGGGGAAAAAATCCCAAAAAAAAAGAAAAGAAAATAAACAAAACGTGATTTGACTGTGGTTGTTCAAACTTTTGCATAACTGCTGATGCAGACACATAAACACTGATGACGTGTAAATAAACACATGACGGATTAGCGTTAGAGAGGAATATAATATTTATTTCTGTCGGGTTACAAATGCAGTAAATTAATTAAAATGCAGGTTTTTTGCTGTATCCACCCAGCATCACCTAAAAATACTGCTCTTACAGTAAATATCTAATCAGTCATCAAATCGCTGCTGTCGGAACAAAACCTCGTATCTCCATTTTTGCCATTTTTCAGTTTTTGACATGGTTTGAAAATGCCTGTTGGCCTTTACATTGTGTGTAAATTTCATGAAGGATGGTTTAAAGGAAACGACCCAGAATGACTTGGAAAAAAGTCTGGTTCCATTGACTTAGATTAAAAGTAAAGTATGTTTTTTCCTTCTCCTGTAAAGTTACCATTTTGGAGATACGAGGTTGCAGCGAAATATTGGATGAATATATTGAAAATATTGGTCAAATTTTGACATCTTTCCGATGCCAATATTACATTTTGAAGCAAATATCTGTCAATACCGATTATGATTCTGATGTAATTGTGCATCCCATTTGTAAATGATATGGCCTTGCTGCCCCTCTCTCTCTCTCTCTCTCTCTCTCTCTCTCTCTCTCTTCTCTCTCCCTCTCTCTCCTTCTCTCCTTCTCTTTCACTTCTCTCTCTCTCCTTCTCTCTCTCTCTCCTTCTCTTTCACTTTCTCTCTGTCCCTCTCTCTCTCTCCTTCTCTCTCTCTCTCTCTCTCTCTCCCTCTTCTCTTTTGCTTTCTCTCTCTCTCTCTCTCCTCTCTCTCTCTCTCTCTCTCTCTCCTTCTCTTTTGCCCTCTTTGTCTCTCTCTCTCTCCTTCTATTTTGCTTTCTCTTTCTGTCTCTCTCTGTCTCTCTCTCTCTCCCCTCTTCTCTTTATCTCTCTCTCTCTCTCTCTCTCTCTCTCTCCTTTTCTTTTGCTTTCTCTTTCTGTCTCTCTCTCTCTCTCTCTCTCGCTCCCTTGCTCCCTCTCTCTCTCCTTCTATTTTGCTTTCTCTCTGTCTCTGTCACTGTCTCTCTCTCTCTCTCTCTCTCTCTCTCTCTCTCTCTCTCTCCCTCTTCTCTTTCTCTCTCTCTCTCCTTCTCTTTTGCTTTCTCCTTCTGTCTCTCTCTCTCTGTCTCTCACTCTCTCTCCTTCTATTTTGCGCTCTCTCTCTCTCTCTCTCTCTCTCTCTCTCTGTAGGTGGTGTGGGAGTACAGGATGCAGCAGTGGTGAGGGTGCAGCGTGTGATGTTGGAGGTGGTCGTGTTGCTGATGATGGGTTTCTTTGGCGGGGCTCAGTCCTGCACTGAGCAGGATAACTGTTCCGCCTTGAACAGCTCTAAGGACTGGTGTTACTCGGCCCGCATCCGCAGCACCGTGCTGCAGGGCCTGCCCTTCGGGGGTGTGCCTACCGTCCTCGCTCTGGACTTTATGGGTTTTCTGGTACGTTGTGGACATTTCTACTTCTATTTTACTTACATTATTACAACGCAACAAGGAAATAAACAGCGACCCATAGCATTAGCTGTACGCTCTTAAAACTGATGGTTCTTCAAGGGTTCTTCAGTAAAGAAATATACAGATATATATATTTTTTTATAATATACCATACAGAACCATAAACACTCAAAGAGTCAGGATTAAAGGGTTCTTTGCATTGCTAAACGGTTCCTCAGATTGATGGAGAATGTCCTGTGGATGGTTTTGTATAGAACCTTTTTGAAAATGGTTCTATATAGCACCAAAAAGCGTTCTTCTATTGTTATGATCTCAAGCCTGCTCTCTTAAAAAAGAGGGTTCTTCAAGGCTTTTTTAGTAAAGATAATGGCTATATATTGAGCCGTGAATACGCAAAGAACCCTTTGCTTGATTAAAGGGTTCTTTGCTTGGTAAAATGGTTCTTCAGATTGGAGGAGAATGTGCTGTCGATGGTTTAAATAGAACCATTTTGAAAAGGGTTCTGTATAGCACCAAAAAGGGTTCAACTGTTGTTACATGTCAAAGAACCCTTTTTTGTTTCTATATAGAACCCTTTTTACTAATAATGTGTAACACTAGAAGAACCCTTTTTGGTGCTGTATAGAACCTTTTTAAAAAGATTATATTATAACAATATAAAACACATCCATGATATTTAGACGTTTAATTGGATTTCTCACAATCTTTTTTGATCCCAGTAACGTTATCCAACTATTTTCAATCATATTTTCATTTTTTGTTATATCTTGAACTATAAACGGGTCATTCCACAGAAACGTCCACTTTTCTGTCTCTCCATAGGAGTCACTGGTGTTACTGATCCTCATTGGTGTTCCACATAATAAAGGAACACATTTTTAATGAACAATGCATTTTACTAAATGGCTGCTACAGAACATCAAACCACATGTTGTCAATCATGGAATATCCACTAAAATATGAAATTTAATCCATTTGTATTCTATTTTCTCACAATTACCTCAGAATAAAGTCGGTCACACCAGTGACTTCAGCTAAAAGCTTCATATGAAATCATGAGCTAAATGAGAAAATCTCTGATAACTGAGAGACACAGTGGACTCACCATGAGCTTTTCTTCATAGATCCTCAGAAAACAGGTAAAAGGAAGTCGAGTGATGTCATCAGTGTGACTTTTATTTCAAAATAAGAGATTTTTTGTTGTGCAGTAACACCAGTGACACGACTCCTGGGGACTTTCATTATATATTTGATAATATTTACTTGTCATTTGTTTTCTTTGTCATTTAAATCATATATTTCATAGTCATGTATAGATTATTGCTGTTAAAATTGCAGAAAAACGTTTTTTCTTCAAAATATGTCCTCAGCCTTCACACATGACTGTGAGGATGAGCTTTTCTGAGGTGCTTGGAATTCTAGATAATTGATTTAAAAACCAATATTGCTAAATTGAGGCTCAAGAAGTTGTAATTATTAAAATAACTTATTGTTTTATTTTAAAAATATAAATAAATTATGACCTTAACATGTTTTTAGAGTGTTGAGCGCTACTCAGCCTTAACAATTTACTTTTACATTATGTTGCAAGGAAGGAATCTGCAAGATTCTGTGCTTCTCAAATTTCAATATAATCCTCTAGTTAATCACCTTATCTTGTCTAATATCTGCAATAAGTGCAGTGGATTATAGTTAAGTCTGCTTAATTCTTTTTTCTTTTGTAATTTAATTCATTTTAACAGTGTTGCCCCTCAGCCTAATAAGTTAATAAGTTAATTTTATTTATATCATGTTATTTGTACTTATAATCTTCTTTTATTATATTTTAATAAACTTGTGTGTGGTGCTTGTCTTTCTCCAGGTTCTGCTCTTTGTGTTCTCTTTCTTGAGGAAAGTTGCGTGGGATTATGGGCGTCTGGCGCTGGTCTCAGACGCAGACAGGTAATAAACACGAGTCTCACTAAATCTGAATGAATTTCACGCCCTCAGTGCCAAAATCAGAGCATTTCTGTTGAACATGTGCTTCAAAAGTCTAATGCTGATTGCCGTCCCACTTTCGAAAGCCCTCTTAGAAACTCATCATTGCAGTGCTGAGTCACGTTCTCTCACTGGACGCTCTGTACAGACACATCTGGACCACATTTGTTCAGCTGGACACACTCGATCAGCTGCTGTGCAGACAAATCATACTGTGATTGTCAGTGTGTTTACAACAAAATGAAAGACTGTGGGTTAAATCATTTGTCCTGAATGCAGTGAGGGATGTTTTCAGGACTCAGGCACGTTTGTTTTTTGTTCTTTAATATACTTCCAGGGCATGTATCCAATCAAATTCACACACATAATATCTTTTGAGGTTGTATTTGTTAGTATAGACAAAAAAAACCTGTGTGTTCATAAGTATAAACAGAGATTTGGAAAAAAAGCTAAATGGATAGGGGAAGCATATGAAATTATACATAAATCAATCAATCAATTAATAATCTTTACTGCGACTCAGAAGTACATTAAGGGTTACCCTCATTTACAGTGTAGCTGAGCAAATTACACAGGGATTCAAAAAGTTTAAATTAAGTTTATCACCTAAAATAAATTAAAATCAACAGGACAAAAAGATTTAAGAGAAATGAAAAGATAACAGCTCGAATAGGAAACAAGCATGAAAAATGCCTGATTTGTGGTTAACTAACTAAAACTATTATCATCTATGACACCAGTAATAAGAATAAGAATGTAAAAATAATAATAATAATAATAATAATAATAATCTTTTATGCACATGGCAGTCCAGTACAAAAGTGTATGTACTTATTTACATGCACATTGATATAAACAAATAAACCCTGTTACATTTAAAGACAGATCACACTGTGCTTTTGTTTTATACTACTGACTCCGCCCACAAAATAAACAATACAAAACACAGCTAGTGTCATACACTGCAATAATACAGTTTTAAATATGATAATTTAAAAAAATAATCACACTACACAATCACATCATTGTACCGTTTTAGAAAAACCCAAAGACGTTTTGTTTATTTTACATTGTGTTTTTTACATTGAGTCTTTGTAATTTTAACACTATGAAGTTTGGTCAGTAGGGGGAGCAGTGCAGTCTCAGACTCCGCCTACAAGCCCAGATTTTGGCTCAGGAGCCACTGAATGCCATTGTTTTATTGGGTCCCTATGAAAACATATGCACGAATTAGGGTGTGCTTCATGTAAATGATATGTAAATCAGGATCAGGTAGGCGGGGCTTGATTTCTCACACTGTAGCTACGTGAAAATCTTCACTGGTCTCCACATCATACGAAATTTTGTGTATTAGACGCAGAGTAGTTCAGATGTCCTTAAAGCTGGTCAGATCTGCACTATTTTAAGCACATTTAGCAAATAAGAATCATTATATGTGTAAATTTTAAGTGGATATATAAATTGTAAATATATTAAATAATAAAAATAAAGACGTCTGAAAACCTCATCGCTGTATTTTCCGGTACAGATCAGCAGTCGTAGTGCAGCCAGCTTGTTGATGTTTTACCTTATTAAATTTTATGGAGTCAGAGTGACTGACTGCCCAATCAATACAGTAAATGGTTCCATCCAATTATCTGATCTATCCTACATTAAATTTTGAATGTTTTATGTGGGGTTTTCCTGGCGGCCCTCACTGCTGGCTGACTCGCCGTCAGAAGCTCTGCTGCTCTCCGTTCTGGTTCCAGCGTGACGGAGCCCTTCCTCCCACTCAGATCATCACCTGACTTCTACGTCACGTCTACTGCGACTGACTCAGCTGGGTTTCATATCTTGTTTACTTGCCTGGCCATTATTGATCTGTTTTGCACATCCTCCTCCAGCGGGGCCAGAAGGTCAGATTAGACCTGAACCTCCGAAGGACCTTAGATTACCCCTTTGTGCTGAGCAATATGGCCAAAAAACAAACAATATTGTGCAGAGGTGTTGGGCACTAGAGGAACATTTGATTTTTAAAAGCTATTTATGTGATCATTCTTTATTTATTTGCTTAGAGAACTATTATTACACTAAATGCGAATAATATTATTAATATTTAGGATTTTTTTTGTGTTTTGTATGTCAGTTTGTTCGTTTAACCATTTCCAAACCTTTCCTAGGAAAAGCCCAGTGTTATTTCTAGTTTTCATCCAGTACCTGCTTTGCATAATCAATACTTTTCAAACTAAGTGCGCAAAATTTAATGAAAACATATGATGTCTGGAGAAATCTGGAGCCAGAAATTTCTGTTCCTCAGACCAGCTCACAAGATACCAACTATTTTTTTGAAAACAAGAAATTCTTGTTACCTTTTGCTTTATTTATGTTAATTTGCATTCATTCTAATGATAATGTGCTTTTACAAGCACAGACAGGTTTAATGCCAAATAGTTTCAGACGATGAGCCAAGCTGTCTAAGATGTTTGCAGTACTGTGTGTTTTTATAGAGTCGCATGCAAAAGTTTGAAGTCAAATTATGTTAAGTTGACTTTCTAAATGCAAATAAGTTAAGACGTCATCTACAGAGAACATACTTAAATTTGACACTTTCTGCAGATGTTAGTGCGCAGTTTCCATTTATTTTGTGTGTTTAGCATATTTGGAAAAATAAAGCATAAAATATTTGGTTTTTTTTCTCCAGTATGTCAAATTTGGCGAATAAATAATAATTGTACATTGAATGTGCAGACGTGTGTTGAGGTTCTGTTAACTTATTTTCAATTAGAAAGTCCACAAAACGTCATTTGACCAACTTTTGCGTGTGTTTGTGTATATATAAATATATATGTGTGTATGCACACACACGTATGTATACATATATTCCAGTTAAAACGATAAAAAGAAGTCTTTGAGAATGCTTCGTATATAAATAAAACAGTATAAATGTGTGTCCGTTAGGCGCTGCTTCTTACTATAAAAGAGAGAACAGCAGGAAAATTTACAATATGCATTATTTATGTCTGAATACAACCCATCTAAGGAATTCTGCTGTAATATTCAAAGTTATTAATCAATATAGAATATCACATAAGTAAGTGAAAGTTAAATGCATATCAATAGGCCTCATTCTCCAATATCTTCCTAAGTTTGCTCTTAAGTGTGTCCTTGAGAAAGGTCCTGATAAAAAGTGGGTTTTAAGAAGAAACTTCTTCTTAAGAATGGTTGGTGAATGAGGCCCACTGTTTTGAGGACATGACTGATTTACCGGGCCTTTACATTCAACCCTAAGCAAGCAACAGCTTCAGAATGTGCCTTAACAGTCAACAAAAACAGGGATGAAAAGGAGAGAGGATGTGTGGCTTGCTAACTCTCCTGCTGCGCTGATTTGTGCTGTTGTGAGTGAATGGCTAGACTTCTTTCCAGAATAGCAAGTGAAAAGGGCACATTGCCACTCGTACTGAGGAAACTAAAGTTCGCTGCTCAAGGTATTCTGACATCGGCTGGTTTTTGTCAGTATATACAAGCACACACATATATTTATTTATTTTTTTAATCGCTGCTGTCGGAACAAAACTTCATATCTCCAAAATGGTAACTTTACAGGAGAAGGAAAAAACATACTCTACTTTTAATGTAAGTCAATGGAACCAGAGTTTTTTCGTAGTCAGTTTCGGCCGTTTCTTTTGGTCCATTCATCATGAAATTTAGATAAAATGTAAAGAGCAACAGGTATTTTCAAATTATGTCCAAAACAGAAAAGTTTTTGTTCTAACAGCAGCACCATATATATATATTTGGTGAGATATGGTGAGTTTAGCATACTCGAATATATATATATATATATATATATATATATATATATATATATATATATATATATATATACACAATATTAAGCATGTCTAACAACTTCATCTCTGTTTTCACTTTTAGGTTTGTCTTTACCCACCACAATCCTTCATCACTACGCCACCTCTACTAAGTTGATGTTGATGCTGTCGTTGTTGTTGATGCTGTCGTTGTTGTTTGATGGTTTGATTTCACTAACCAAGTGTTCTCTTCAGTAATATGTGGCCTGATTGGCTGTTGTCTTCTCTTTACCTTAATCCTAGATGCTGTTTGATAGGCTGCATGCGTTCCCTATTTCACTGTAAACTAGGAAATGCTATAATTTATACCCTAAGCTTATTGTTATTACTGAGAAAAACTGAATTATCATCATTTACATCCAATGTGAGTAGCATTCAAACTGCTTTAACTCACAGTACTGAAACTAAAATTGTCAGTGTGATTTAAACCGAAGGCAGTGTGATCAGAAATGACACATCATTCCTCTATTTCAGAATGACTGCTTCTGAAATCAGTTGAAGGTTGTGTTTCTCTGAGCTCAGCAGGCTTGAACCTCAGGCATTTGAGCTCGTCATGACCCCTCCCTCTCTTCTTCTTCTTTTTTCTCCCCTCAAGGCAGGATCAGCGATACCGGCGCCTGGACGAACTGGAATAGTATGTCTTGTTTTACGTCCGTCGGTTCCTTGGAGTTCCTGCTCCACTTCCACCTATTGAATTAACCTTCTCTTGTTTCTCTTGCCCTCTCTCGCTCTCTCGGGTGGCGTGAATCCTTTTAACATGTCTCTGTCGACACATTCCTCTTAATCACACGTTCTCACCTTCTCCTGTTCCGTCTGTACGTCAGTTCCAGTTGGTGGAGGGCTTCTTCTCAGCTTCTTAAATGTAGTTGTGGGCTGATCTCCTCTGCATGTGTTGTTTAACCTATAACCAGTATGTTCACTTGATTGCCCAGCATGCATTTTCTGGACTTGGCTCTTGAACCATGTGCCTCTCAGAGGCAGGATGCTCATAGGGAGAGGTAAAGCTCTGCGTGGTTGACTTAGACCAGGTCCACACGTATATGGATGTTTCTCAAAACGTGTTTTTATTTTTTTCCATGTTTTATTATCCGAACAACACAATAGAGCTGTCCAACAACAGCAGGGGTGTCAAACCCAACCACTAAAAGGGCCGGCTGTGTTTAATTTTACTTTATACTTAATGTTTTTCCATGAACTGGCCATAGTTTATTCAAAATACGCCAAAATGACAACGGCAAAAAATAGGCATTGAATACTTGAACAATTCAAAAATTATGTCAGGGCTCTGGCTGGGCCACTCAAGGACACTCACAGAGTTGTCCCTAAGCCACTCCTGTGCTGTCTTGGCTGTGTGCTTAGGGTCATTGTCTTGGTGGTCATTGTCCCGAGCGCTCTGGATCAGGTTTTCAATAAGAATATCTCTGTACTTTGCTCCATTGAGCTTTCCCTCAACCCTGACCAGTCTCCCTGTCCCAGCTGCTGGAAAACAACCCCACAGCATGATGCTGCCACCACCATGCTTCACTGTAGGGATGGTATTGGGCAGGTGATGAGCAGTGCCTGGTGTCCTCGCTTAGAATTGAGGCCAAAAAGTAAAATCTTGGTTTCATCAGACCAGAGAATCTTGTTTCTCACAGTCTGAGAGTCCTTTAGGTGATTTTTTGCTTTTTGTTTTATTCAAAAATCATTTTAATTAAAAACAAATTATTTTATATAAAACAATACACTACATTAGCTGTAGATCACCGTTAAACCTGTTTTTTTGGTGCTGTCCCATAGAGCGTTATTGGGGAGGGGGTGGGAGCCCACATTACATTGCGGTGCATGCTGGGAACTGTAGTGTAGCTCATGGTGAAATGGGCTAATATTAATAGAATATTATTATTATTATTTTGTGGGCTTAATAGGATTGTCCTTGTGTTTGACACATGGGCTCTACAGGGCGGAGCTTTTTTAAAATCTTCTGAACTGTGTGTCATAGCGACAAAATTCTGCTTATACTCTACAAAGAAAAAAAAAGTAGCTCCGCCCTCTTGATTTTAAGATAACTTGCACGTTTTGCATAAATTATGCAAATTTCTTAGCCAATGGTTTTTCACACTAATCTGTCAGAAGATTTTTTTAACAAAAGAAATTGTTAAAAATGTTGGAATTTAAATACTGTGTAGCGTCCGGGCACCACCCAAAAAGGGGTGGAGCTTAAATGGCAAAAATCATGCTTATACAGCTCAAAATCAGAAACGCTTTGGACGAAACTGTACAGATGTGTACTGTAGGGACGTCGTAGGCCGTCCTCAAATTGTTACACGAATGTTAGTGTTGTGTTGTTAAATTGACATGAAATTTTGCTGCTGCTCTGCTGTCTTGGCTCAAGACATTTAAGCTATATTTAAGCCATAAAGCTTAGAAAAATACTTTAATAAAAAATAAAATAAAAAGAAAAGCTCGACATGTTTCACTTTTGTAAGCAAATGGGAAACAATACTGTTTGTCTTATTATTGCTTTTGTCATCATTATTATTATTATTTTATTCAGAAGTTCTTTTTCTTATCGCTAACTATTAGTATTAATTATTACAATTAATGTAATCTGTTGTTGTCGTTATTATTATTATTATTATCGTTATGCGCTATTACAAAGATCCAATATTATTGCATTGTCCAATCTGGCAACCCTGATCAGGTGATATGTTTTTAACTAGCAAGTTTTTCGAACTATTTGGTAACTATCAGCTTAAAAACTGTCTCTTTGGTGGCGTCCTGTCAGTGAACGGGGGAGTAATGAACATTTTTAAGTTGCTCAAAACTTTATACCTGAGCACATGCTGAACTCAGCAGCCACCGCTCTGAGCTATTGGTCGGTGCAGTCTGCTCTGATTTATTTACGGCAATAAGCATTTTTTTGGGACAGAAACTGACCACTGATAAAAGAGCAGTGGTCACCAAAACTCCTTCTGGAGATCTTCCTTCCTGCCGGTTTCACCTCCAACCCAAATCCACCACACTTCATTCAGTTGATGTGCATTTCTTTTATGTTTTTAACTGTTTTAGAAATATCCCGATACGTGTGGACGAGGACAAAGTAGTTTAGACAACAGAGCCTTGAAGTAGTTTCACTGGAATCTACACTCGTAAAAAAAGATGGTTCTTTAAGGGGTCTTTAGCAAAGAAAATGGTTCTATATAGAACCAGGAACACTCAAAAAACCCTTTGCATGAATAAAGCGTTCTTTGCATTGTGAAAGGGTTGTTTAGATTGATAGTGAATGTGCTGCAGATGGTTCTATATTGCACCAGAAAGGGTTTTGCTACTGTTATGTTGTCAAGCTTGTATACAATAGAAGAACCCTTTTTGGTGCTATGTAGAACTCTTTTCAAAAAGGTTCCATATAGAACCATCTACAGCACGTTCTCCATCAAACTGAATAACACTTTCGCGATGCAAAGCATGCAAATGGTTCTTTGAGTGTTCCTGGTTCTATAAACCATTGTCTGTACTGAAGAACCCTTAAAGAACCATCTTTAGGTGTGTAGTGTTTATTCGTGTCTGTGATTGATTTAGTCCTCAATATGCTGAAAATAGGAAGGGTTTGACATTCGTATACAAACCCTTATTAAATGGGCGCCGTCACTGTGCACTTACTGTAAACCCAGTAGGTCCTGAGTGCTTCATTCAAATAGACGTTCTTCGGTTCTTTGTTCACCGTCCAGCAGAGCATTGACTCCATGTCTGCTGAACGGTTCCTCTTCCTTCAGTCTGACTCTAATCTGCACTAAACTTTTATTCCTCTCTCTTTTGCGTGTCCCTTTTCTCTCTAGGCTTAGTGGAGGCTGTCTTTCTTCTGTGACGTGGACCCTAACTGTGTGTGTGTGTGTGTGTGTGCTTTCTCAATCAGTGAAAGCATGAAACATTTTGACGTGGTGAAAAACTCGAGTTTAGCCTCCTGTGTAGTTGATGATGAACAGAACAGGAGAGTTGAGAGGTTAATAAAGATGGGTGGTAGCCTGAGTGGTGGATGTCCTAGCCAGCTAAGTGAGCTCAAGTTAAGCCTTGGTTCATGCAAACATTAAATTCACACAGTTTTCCCCTTAACCCAAACGTAGTCCATCAGCAAAGACATGCTTGGTGTTAGAACTTTGCTTTCTGGAGCTATAAGACTAATATAGCTGGTACAAGTAATGGAAACGTACGACTGCCACTTAGCATCATGCATGCTGACCTCTCTCGCGCCCCTTTCACGTCAGTATTTGCGTGAGCCAAGACATGAAACTTACAATAATATTAAACCTGGTCGATTTTGTTGTAGCATCAAGACGAGAAAAAGACTGAGTTAAGACGGCCGTCCTGACCTCCTCACACTAAACGATGGAGAAAAAACAGATTTTTGTTCAGTGTTTGCCGTACTGTGCTGCAGTAAACCTGGTTAAACGGGACTAATTTTGCTCTCTTTATAATAATAAAACATGCAGTTGGTCAGTGTTCTACATGTACAGATGATGTACACAATATGTTCAGAAAAGCACATTGTGTTGTGACATAATGTATCACGATGATGATATCTTGTCACATTGCCCAGCTCCAATAAAATGGACATACAATTCAGCGTTTGATAAAGCTGTTGGATATGGCGGTCAGTTATGATTAAAATACGCAACAGTTAGTCCCGGCCACGCGAGCTGATTGGTTGAGAGGCGTTCTAACTGTGCTGTTATTTCTCCACAACATCACAGGTTTTCACAAACACTGTATCACTCCGCTGAGACGCCGTTGCTAAGCAACGACTTTGACCGCTGTAGAAGACGCTCAAGACATTTGAACGTTTTTACTTCTTACTTTGCCACAAACAGAAAATGGACACTTTTAAGGTCACATTTGACCGACAGCCGATTTGGTCAGACTCTGAAGATGAGACGACACTAAATTCCCAAACTGTCAGTTGGTCTGTGTGGAGCTGGAGAACGAACTGCCGGCTGAGCAGCGAGTGGGCGGAGCTCGTTACTCTGACGTAGCAACAAGCTGCTCGTTAAGGAACTATAATTTGGTGAAGGAACTGTGAACATTAAAACATATTAAACGCCGCGTTCACGGCCCAGTTTATTAATTTATTACTTTATTTATTTAACTGTTATATTAAAGCAATAGAACACTCGAGGAGTGTGTTATCACCAATAACATCACGGCTGTGATGATCTACGGCGACCAAATCACAGCCGTGATGTTATTTCACAATACCGCACATATATTAAATATCATTTCCTTTAAGCAAATAGCTAAAAATAGATAATCACCATTCACAGTTGCGCCAAATAAAAATAACGAAATATTAGTAGCTGTTTAAATCATGACTGCAAGCACATTTTGGTGGATTGTAAAGCTGAAAAACAGTCGGCAATAACTGAACAGCTTTTTCTGTAAGGGCTACAAAAATGAGTATTTTTATTTCCTTGTATAAAACTTGTATTTTATGTGATAGCTATATATTTAATTTCTTGAAAAGGTCTTTATAGTGATGCAGGTGTGTTGACAGTAGCCATAGCTACATCACTCATTTTAAACACTGGAATTGAGAATAATCCATGCAGTTTTCCACATACTTTCCACTTAGAAGATGATGGTTCCACCCCAGTGCAGAGAAGCATGTGTTGGTGCCTTCTGTCCATTATTATTATGTCAGTTTGGTGCTGCATGTGAGGTGATTAGATCTACACTGTGATGGTCATTGTGAGCAATCCTTGGCGAGCCATTAGCCCTGTGTTTATCATGGGATTTATTGAGCTGCCCTAGTTAGTTGTTCTCCATATTAGCTTCTTTATCCTCCAAGCAAACAAACTTCAAACACCAAATATGTCTTGACTGACCTGCGTTTGAGGTAAGTTGAGATGGTCACTGCCATAAAGATCACATGTACTACTGGGGCTGGAAACTACACTAGAATGTTTACTAGCTACACCTGTTACACCAAGCCTCTTCAGAATGAAATGCCGTTTGATGACTGTGCATATCTTTCAAAGCCTGCTGAGTAAACCGGTTTGTTTGGACTGTGTGTGTGCGCAGTGTGGCCTCAGCCATGCAGACGCCGGTCGATGCCCGCTACGAGCGCCTGACCTCGGTCTCCAGCTCTGTCGACTTCGACCAAAGAGACAGCGTAAGTATTTCCTGAGTCCTGTTATGTCAAGAGGGAATGATTTACCCCAGGGGTCGGCACTGTCTATTACCTGGTGACCATAGTCACAGCATTTCACCTTTTGGTCACTAAAAATGCGGAGCCTGTTGCCTGAGTGGCCAATTATATTGGAGACTTTTCAGTTTTTCCTTTTGAACAAAACACCAGTTGAAATTTCACACATTTCACCCTCATGCATGAGATCCAGAGTCTGTTTAGTTAAACTCGGGACTAATTGCATCAAAAGATTTAGTCAGATCTGTAATGTTAGCGTTACCATCGCAAAAGCCAACTTCATGGCCTCTCTGACTGCCAACAGTTTGACTTGTCCTCTCCCACGGTCCGCAGGGAGCAGGTCCCATTGCGTAAGCCGGTCCTGTGATCCAGAGATATGTGATATGACTGTGGTTGATGGCTGAGTTATTAGAATCGGGCTTTACTGCCAGTAAATTCTAATAAATTAGAAAGTTCAGCGTTGAGTAAATAGATAGAGCTTTATTGCGGTGTTACAGTAGCAAGACACATAATTGCACATAAAAAATAGGCAGAAATAAAAATATAGATATAAATTAGGCAGAAATAAAAAAACAGACACAAGTTCCTGTAAAGTATGAGAGAGTAGGAATAGATGTATATCTATTTCAATTAATCAGTCAACCTTTATTTAAACTCATTACATTGAGGGACACCCTCATTTACCATGTAGCCGGGCCAATACAGAATTAGGGATTGAGAAGTTGGATAGTTAAAACATATCAAATGCTATGTAATAATAATCATGGTATTAAAATTGAACAGAAAAAAAGTTTAAAAAAAAATCAGTAAACCATTAAAAATTAAAATAGTGTAGTAGCTTAATAAATAGCAGATCAGATAAGGATAAAATAAATAAAAAACAATTAATAAAATAAAAAATGAAATGGAAGATGTCAGACATTTGTAGTAAACAATAAATAAAAATAATAATAATAAAATTAATAAAATGAGAGCAGGTATTGCACTAAGTGGTATGAGGTAGTTTACAACACTGAGTATAAACATAACTAGGAGAAAGAAGAGAAGAAGAAAGGTAGAGTATGATGTAATATTCTGTCGAGCATGTCTTCAATTTCCACGACAGACCATTTCAAGTTCATTCTTTGTTGGAAGAAACTTGTTTTGAAAACAAGGAAAGCACAGCTTTTCACACGAGCGCTGTTAAAGTGCAGTGATCTTCAGTAATCTCAATAACTGAGAGGTTACAGGGCCAGTTGGGGAAGATAAGAGAGGCTGGTCAGCAGGATTAAATAATAAAAGTCCAAACTTTACTGAAGTTGTGATTTTGTAAACAGGTTTATATAATTCTGGCCACTAATTCTTAGTTTTGGCCTGTAGATGTATTGGCTGTATTGAGTGTCCAGTGCAGACTTTTATACCTGTGGGCCCCTGATTTACCCAACCCAGACACGTTTACTCCATATATACACACAACACACACACATGCATACAACCCCTCGTCTCTGTGTCGCTCTTTGGGCTGGCCTTAAACACACACACCTGCTCATTTCGTAATGACTCAGCTGGCCTCCCTGACAGCCAGCAGTTTGACTTTCCTCTCCCGCGGTCCTCAGGGGGCAGGGCTGTTACGTTAGCCGGTCTTGTGATCTAGTGCACAGCTTTGCAACCTAAAGAAAACCTTGTAAAGCACTTTAAGGGACTAATGGTGACACCTCACCGTAGGGCAGTGTTCATAAGGCTACATGACCACTACATAAGCTTGTCAAAACAACTGACATAACTACATAAAGCAATAATGTCTTTTTCTAGAATGCGGTCTGTCATAAACGATGTTCAGGTAGGTGGAACGTGTCGAATTGATGTCTGTATTAATGCGCGCAGTCAAGATTTAAGTCATTAGACCATTCTTCCATTGCACCAGGTGCCCATTATAGACGCATTCTTTAGGCGACAGTGGTCAGCATGGGCACTCTGATTGGTCAGCACAGCCCCATACACAGCAGTGAGTGATGCACTGTGTGTTGTGACACATTCCTTCTGTAACCAGCATTAAACGTATTTGTGACGTGCCACAGCAGCCCTTCTTGGTTCAGACAGGATAGACTTCGTCATCCTCACACACCGATGAGCCTTTGGTGCCCAACACTTTGTCGCTGGTCCAGCACCCTTCTCGGTCCGCTGTTGGTAGGTACTGACCACTGCTGACTAAAGCCTGGGGTTCACCACATGAGAGATTATAAAAAGACTGGGCGTCTCACACTACCTGACTGATTTTTGCTGATTTTTTTGGGCGACTGAAATATTGGGGATCACACACTCTACTCAACTTTTAAGCTGTTGCTGAACTCGCTGAACTCTCGCGTTCTCCCGTTACTAGGAGATGCAAATAAACAAACATGGAGCGGCTGCTGGGGTTTTCTCTGCTGTTTGCACTGACACAGTAAAGAAGCAGCAGGCAAACATGTTTAAGTGAGGATAATAGACTTTAAAATGTGATCTCTGGTATTTCTTAGAGTTTTAAATATACAAAAACTCGATTGTGCCTTAAAGGCTGCGTTCACATTACCAGGCTGAAGTGGCACAAATCCAATTTTTTGCCCTAATATCTGATGTTTTCAGAGCTGTGTGGACATGAAAATGTGATCTTTTCAAATCCGACCTGAGCCACTTTCATATGTGGTCCTAGATCTGATATGTATCTGATTCGTGACCATGTGACCTTAATGTGACGCTCAGATTCGGAATTCATGTGCTTTTTTCCACTGTGCCATCATTCAGCGTTACCATGGCAGCAGCGCCGGACAGAGGTTAAAGCCTGTAAACGGTGGAAAAGCTGCTCATCTCACCTTTTTCTCCTTCGTCTCGCTCTAATAATGAAGCTGAGAGCTGATCAGAGTTAATGATCTTCTCAGCGAAGCTCGTTCTGCTCGTTAGTTTGTGCTGATGATGCACGTGATTCATTCACGTGACGTTACTGAGTAGGATGAGCTCATGAGGGTCGTTTCAGGACACCGGTTCGTCACATTAATGACAGATTTGAATCACTAACCTAAACGAGTGTGAACCATCATGTCAGAGAGATCGGATTTGAGCAATGAGGCCTGTAATGTAAACATAGCCAAACTAAACTCATAAAAAAAGCTTCGCTCCACATGTGAGAGACTTTTCGCCATTTTTCTTTGTTTAATTGCTGTATTTTCTTCTTTCGCGCTCTCAGTTTTCATTGGCTGTTGCAGGAATCCGTTCAGATTGAGTCGTTGATCAGTTTGCACTAGATTACACGAGTCGGGACGAAAAAATCAAGCATGTTTGAGAAACTCTGACTGGTCTGAAACTCAGATCAGGAGGACAAAAATCCAAATCTGTGCCACTCAAACACGACTCGACTCTCTGTCCAACTGTCGACTCCAACTGCCCCAAAAATCTGCAGACAAGAGCCAACCAGCACTGACTCAACCAGACTGAGAGGGCTAAAATTGGGGTAAAGGTCATGTAGTGTAACCCCGGCTTAGGAGAACCCCACAAGCCTCGCCGTTTCGGTGATGCTCCGACCCAAACGTCTGGCCGTAACGATTTGGCCCTTGTCAAAGGTGCTCAGGTCTTCACTCTCGCCCGTTTCTCGCTGAGTTTGAGAACTGACTGTTCTCCTACAAGGAACAGTCCTTTATCAATGTTTTTGTAGGCTTATGTCAGTTGTCATGCTTATGTAGGTGCAATGTAGTCCTGTGAAGTATTATTAAACACCTTCTTTTTTAAAGCTGATATTGTTTGAATGTGATTGGACGATGGACATCAGTGTGAACTGTCTCTCTTGCAGGGTTTCTGCTCCTGGCTAACGGCCATCTTCAGGATAAAGTGAGTCCTCTGTGCGTTTTAGCGAGCTCTTAAAGCATTTTATAAGGTTGCTGATTGGGTCTTTGTGAATGTGGGCTTGGGTGCAAGCTAAGCGGGTTGTGTACCAAAGCTTTTTGGCATTGGTGTGTATGTGTGAGATGTATACTGATATATGCTGTAAGTCTATCTTTCCCTCTCACTCCTCAGAGATGATGAGATCAGGGAGAAATGTGGCGAGGACGCAGTGCACTACCTCTCCTTTCAGCGCCACATCATTGGTCTGCTGGTGGTGGTGGGCGTGCTCTCAGTGGGCATCATCCTGCCCGTCAACTTCTCAGGAGACCTGTTAGGTGAGCCTGGAGCAGAACCGCTGTTATAGGCGACACGTCTGCTTAAATATATATCCCGAAGGTGGTCCTAATAAGAAGAAGTACTAATGAAAAAAAATGCAACCGATGTCTTGTTTCCAATTTTTAGTTCAAGTGAGCAGCTTTTTGTAACTACAATTAATGGTTTCTGTGTTAAAAGGGAATTACATAGATTTTTCATCATTTATGCATAACATAATGGTTGAGATCTAAAGAGTCATTCAAAGTGGTTTGGTCTGAAATGGTTGATTGTAGACATTCAAATTTCTTTACAGTGGTGGTGATAGGAACCAGGGGTCACCCTGCGTACAACACAAATATAGACATTTTATTTACTATCAAAACCAGTGAGCCTACACAAGTCTTTATATGTAATGTTGAGGATGGTAAAAATGGTAGGAAATCTGGAAAAATAAGTTTTTCTTGGGAACAACTTTGCCTCACAACACCCTGCATGTACCATTAAGACCTTTTTTAAAGGCACTGAACTCTTCAGACGTCTGGTTCCTGTCACCACCACTGAAACTGACTCAGCGAGCCGTTTCTATAGAACAGCTCTGACTGGTTTATTTACTTTTTCCTAAGCTGAGTAATTAAAATCTGTAATACACTGAGCACACTTGGGTAGAATAGGTGTCAATAATGAGACATCTTTAAATTGTTTTATTTTGTGAATCGTTGGGAATATACAGTAGAATTTATGTAAACATAGAGATATTTTGACAAATACCTGACCTTAAATGGCGCTACATTCTTGTAGCATGTTGTACTGCTGGAAAAGCCAAAGTTGTCAGGTTTAAAAAAGTCAAAGGGAGTTGTGAAAAAAGTCCCTCACTCATTTGGACTGGGCCTGCTCCTTCTGTGATTTCATATCTTATGTCTAAATGCATAATATCCTAGTTAAATTGATTTATTTGCTCCAGTGTGGGCAGTTAAGACAGACCTCTCACTGTTTCTTTCTGTTCTCCTCACAGATAATAATGCCTACAGCTTCGGCCGAACGACAATAGCCAACTTGAAATCTGAGTTGAGTGAAATTCTTTCTTCTTTGCATGCATTATTTAAGGGTAACGTGATAATCTTGAAATGGAATTCATTGAGGTTTTGCTTCTGAATTTGCACAGGAATAATCTGCTGTGGCTGCACACTACCTTTGCATTCCTTTACCTGTTACTGACTGTCTACAGCATGAGGAGGCACACCTCCAAGATGCATTACAAGGAGGACGACTTGGTGAGTGGCTGAAGTGCCTGTCAGTCTTTCAGTGTACGCTACAACCACTTTGCAAATAGTTTAGCAACACCTTAGCAGTCTCCTGGGATTACTTAGCAATGGCCTAGCAAAAACTTAGCAACCACCTGGGATAACATAGCAATAGTTTAGCTACACCTTAGCAACCACCTGGGATAACATAGCAATAGTTTAGCTGCACCTTAGCAACCACCTGGGATAACATAGCAATAGTTTAGCTACACCTTAGCAACCACCTGGGATAACATAGCAATAGTTTAGCTACACCTTGACAGTTATCTGGTATTACTTAGCAACAGCCTAGCAGCAACTTAGCAACCACCTGGGATACCATAGCAATAGGTTAACTACACCTTAGCAGTCTCCTGGGATTACTTAGCAAGGGCCTAGCAACACCTTTGCAACCACCTGGGATACCATAGCAATAGTTTAGCTACACCTTAGCAACCACCTGGGATAACATAGCAATAGTTTAGCTACACCTTAGCAACCACCTGGGATAACATAGCAATAGTTTAGCTACACCTTGACAGTTATCTGGTATTACTTAGCAACAGCCTAGCAGCAACTTAGCAACCACCTGGGATACCATAGCAATAGGTTAACTACACCTTAGCAGTCTCCTGGGATTACTTAGCAAGGGCCTAGCAACACCTAAGCAACCACCTGGGATAACATAGCAATAGTGTAGCTACACCTTAGCAGTCTCCTGGGATTACTTAGCAACGGCCTAGCAACACCTTAGCAACCACCTGGGATAACAGCAGTGGCCTAGTGACACCTTAGCAACCAATTGGTATTCTATAGCAATAGCAAAATATGACAAACGTGCAACAGCAAAATAGGTATTAAATACTTATTCAAAAATAATTCTAAATAAAAATAAGTTGATTTAGGTAGTTTTTTAAAACTGCATATTTTACTTGACACCAGGCATCTGTGCTTTCTGTGTAACCGCTGACCCATGGATTGTAGTTGTGGGGGGAAGAACACACACTATGTTGTAGTGCATGCTGGGGACTGTAGTGCATCTCAGGGGTGAAAAGGGCTACTAAGAATAGAAAATCAAAATAATTTTGTGGGCTGAATAGGGACTGTATTACAGGCCTGACTTGGCCGACGGGCCTTGTGTTTGACACGTGGGTTATAGTATTTTAAAAAGCAAAATAAATAATGCATTATTATTATTATTATTATTATTATTATTAAACTGACTTATTTGCAGAAAAATGTATTAATATGCATTGTAAGTCTCAATTTAATAGACTAAACTTATCTGGTAATAATTAGTAATTACAGTATCTGTAATAACCATAATAATAATCCTTAAGAATATGTTCAATTTAATTCCTAATGTGAAACATCTTGAGTTTTTCTTATTTTTATAGAATATTTCAATATTCAAGATAATATTCAGTAGAATTTTCAAAAATGAAAATAACTAGTAGCTGCAGTTCTTAGTCCTTTCGTAGCTTGAACTTCTCAGAGATGTTCTAGATTACAAGTGCTGCCATATTTTCATATTCTTTCTTTCCCTGACAGGTGAAACGCACTTTATTCATAAACGGCATCAACAGATACGCAGAAGAGAGCCAGATAAAGCAGCACTTCGAGTAAGTTACTGTTGATCTCCTGAAGCCTCAGTGCAGGATGCTCCCTTACTGTAACTCAGCTTCGCTCTGGTAAAGATGCCTCAGCAGCTCTGACTCCTAGCAGCTCAGGACAGGAGCTTTATGTGCTGTAATTGGCTGTAATGGGACATAGATGAGCTGTGAGGTGGAGGTCAGGAGTCTGAGGCTCTGTGGAGAAGAGCTCGCAGTGCTACGTGTCCGTCTGGTCAATACAGTGTGTTCAGAATTATTATTCAAGCGCCAGTTTTCATGCTGTGGAATACAGGAAAGTTAAATTTGTCGTATAAAGTGACCATTTTATGTTGTTTTGGTATTTTTGTCTGAGTAAATTCATCATCCGTTTTTATTCACAAAACTCGGTCAGCAGAAAAATCACTGTTCACAGTTATTATGCAGGGAAATGCATAACAAAAATAATGTCAGCTGCATGTGGAATTTCAACAAGATTTGCACTTAGCTATGCAAATGACATAGAAACACCTCTTATACTCGTCGGTATATTTCAGTTTTTCCATCTGAGTTTGCATGCCTAAGTCGCAAGGCTAATTATTCAGTAACGGAATGAAATAATTTTTTTTTTTGTAAAAAAGCTCTGGGCCGATTTTATTAAATCTCTCAACATAAACGGTTAACAGAACCAAACCAATGATCCCTCCATGGAGGGCATACAGTCCCTTTAAAGGCGTGTAAGAGGTCTCTCTTTACTGCTGTGGGGAACGACGGTTCTGGTCACAGGCAAGTCGGCCGAGAGAGAGGAAAAAGAAAAGAACCGAGGCGTAGTTCAGCCACCGCTGCTGGAATGGAAGCCAATCAGCCGACTGATCCTCTGACGGCCCTTTTTATGGGGCCGGCTCCGCCGAGGTGAGCCAGCACAGGTGGTGAAATCAGTGGTGGCCAGATGTGCGGTATTTGGGGCTCCGCCACGTGGCCACCGGCTGTCCACAACACACGATGCTGGATTTTGACAGCTGCTGGCAGTACCTAGGAGGACGGGACCAGCGGGAGCCCCAGAGCCTCCAGTGGCCACATCTGATCATAAACATAATGCTATATGTTTACAGTTTACTGCTGAAAATCAAAAATCTTAGACACTCTTTGTATTATTTTATAATAATAATTTTTACAGAGCAGATCACTGAAGAGACGCCATCTGTTTATAGTTTATAGCCCAGATTTGTGGATTATTATGGGTCGACTTTCAGTAGAAAAAAAAATCTTCTATTATAAAGTTTTAAAATTACATCACCCATCTATTTGACCGGAAAGAAGACAGTTACAGCTCCCATATGACCCCCACCTTTAGAATGTAGCTTATGAAATATGAAAGTTATGAAGAATATGACGAAGTGCGTTTTGGAACCACCGGTGGTCTCAAGGAGTTAAAAAGGTTAAAATATTTCACAAATCCAGTATTTAATGTTGAAATATTTCAGCCTTTGTATCCTCATTTCTCTGTTCTTTGTTAACTAGGGGGCATTGTTTTCATCTTGATCACTTTCGCTATATCTTTTAAAACTTCACAGCGAGTTGTTTTCTTTATTTCTCCCAATTCAGAGGCTTCAGACATTTTCTTGCTGGTTGACATGCTGGTTTTTTTGCAGCTTGTCTTTTGATTCTTTTGCGATCCCGAGCTTTACTGAGTTTTAAGTTTCCCAAACTTGCATTCCAGCTGATTCTTCCGATCACCTTCACTGTTTCGCAGAAACGTCTTTACTGTGCAATGATCACGTTGAATTACCTGTGCTGAGATCTTCTCTTTACTTTCTTCTTTTCCTCTGCTGTGAGATCTTTATTTAAGCTTTGCTGAATAACTATGAACACAAAGAAAAAGGACTTTGTTTGCGTTTGTTACGACAGCAAAGAGAAGTTAGGGAACTAATTAGGGACCAATTAGGGGTTAATCTGGAGCAGCTGTGCTAATTTATAAAAGGATATATTGACATGTAGCCAGAAAATACGTGCATTCGTAATAATTCTGAACACACTGTGGTCTTCAGTGTCGTCCACTTTTCTGTGAGGATGTGCTGTTTGTGTTTCTCTCACTCGCAGGAGAAGAACGTCAAAACATGACGGACAGCAGAGAACGAATAAGAAGAGCAGCACTGAGAGAGAGAGAGAGAGAGAGAGAGAGAGAGGGTCTGAGACTGAGGCATGACTGAGACCAGCAGCAGGAATAAGAGAAGATATTTAAAGGATAAGTGAGGATTAGAGAGATGAGAAAGGCATCAGTGACAGGTTCATCAGTGTACAGCTCAGGTATGATTTGGGAGACACAGAAGATCTAGACTGTGTGAGACGACGACTTCAGAGCTCAGGCTGATACAATGTTGCTCATACAGGTCATACGTGTAGTGACCAATCAGTATTTAGAGTTGTTTTACTTCTGTAATACTTAATTTAATTAAACTGCAGTTAATTTTCCGAAACTTTTCTTTCCTTTCCTTTTTTTTTTTGCTTTTCTCTTTTCCTTTTTTATTCTCTATTCTCTTCTTTTTGTATCTCGTCTCTTTTTTTATATCATCTCCACACGTCTTTTTTCTTTTTCTCACATTTTCCTCTCCTTTTTCTCTTCTTTTTTGTTATCCTCTTGTTTTTCTTTTCTCGTCTTTTTCTCTTCTCTCCATTTCTCCTTTTCTCCTTTCTGTTCTCTGCTCATATCCTCTTTTTTATTATCTGTTCTCTTCTTTTTATCTAATTTTATTTTCTCTACTTCTTCTTTTCTCTTTTCTTAACTCATCTCCTCACCTCTTTTTTCTTTTTCTCACATTTTCCTCTTTTTTCTTCTCTTTTATGATCCTCTTGTTTTTCTATTCTCTCCTTTTCTCCTTTCCTCCTTTCTGTTCTCTGCTCATGTCCTCTTTTTCAATTTCTATTCTCTTCTCTCTTCTTTTTATATTTTTTCTTTGTCTCCCCTCATCTCATCACCTATTTCTTCTTCTTTTTATTTTCTCCTCTGTTCTCCTCTGATGTCCTCTCCTCTCTGTTTCATTTTCTATTCTCTTCTTCTCTTTTCATCTTTCTTTTGTTTTATTGTCCCCTCTTCTTCTCATCTCTTTTCTCTTCTCATCCCCTCACCTCTTTTCTCTGTTCTTTCTCTTTTCTTCCATTTTCCTCTCCTTTTCTCCTTTCTTATTTTATTTTATTCTCATTCTTCTCTTCTCTATTCTCCTATCATCTCTTCTTTTGTCTGTTCTCCTTTCTCTTTTCTCCTTGTTTTATTGTCATCTTTTCTTTTTTTCTCTTCCTTTTTCTCCTTTCATCTCCTTGCCTCTTTCTTCTTTTCTTTTTCTTTTCTCCTTTTTTCACTTCTCCTCTCTTGTCCTCTCCTCTCTTTTTAATTTTCTTTTCTCCTCTTCTCTTTTAACCTGTTTTTCTGTTTTATTTTCCCTTCTTCTCCTCTTCTCTTTTCTCCTCTTATCTCATCTGATATATTTTCTTATTCTTTTTCTTTTCTCTTTTTTTCCCCTCTTCACACAGGCAAGCGTATGAAAACTGTGTTGTGTTGGAGGCTCGCATTTGTTACGACGTGGCCAGACTGATGTATTTGGACTCTGAAAGGTAAAGTCTTTGCCATTTTTCACAAACAGTGCTGTGTAACCGTTTCCTCTAAACGGCTTGGATGGTTGTCGCCTAACGAGGTTAGTTACATGGCCCAGTGAACTTGAGCATGTCTGCAGGAAAAAGACCGAGCGCAGCAAGAAGTTCTACACTGACCTGTTGGCCAAGGAGCACGTGCCCACGATGATCAACCCCAAACCCTGCGGCCACCTCTGCTGCTGCATCATCAAGGGCTGTGAGCAGGTAAGACTGGCTCAGGTCCACAGGCATGATTAGTGCTACACAGACACTCTCACTCTTACACCGGTCAGCCATAACATTCTGACCACCACCTTGTTTCTACACTCATTGTCCATTTTATCAGCTCCACTTACTATATAGGTGCACTTTGTAGTTCGAGTACCCCTGTTTTAGATTGATGATTGCTGTCTCCCCCTGGGGGGAGTGTCTCTAGCTATAGCGCCCCCTTGCTGCAACACTCATGCATTACATCAGGAATGCCCAATATTGATCTCGATGAAAAGCACAAAGAAACCGAAACCGTACCTCTTCCATGCAGAGCGGGAGGAGGACTATTTTTATAGTGTCATAATCCAAATGCATCTGCTTGATTTGCCAAGTAGCCATCGCAATTCCAAAGAAGGGGGATCGTCAGGAAGCATTTTCAAACTATACACAGAAACTACGACTATGAATTCCCAGCTAAAAATGAACTCCAGACTACACAAAACTGTCTGACAATAAGGTTAGTGTGATTTTTCAGGCGTTTGCCCTGTAATGCTAGATATCGCTGTTTCGGAAGAAAACCTTGTACCTCCAAAATGGTAACTTTACAGGAGAACAAAAAAACCTACTTTACTTTTAATGTAAGTCAATGGAACCATTTTTTCCAAGTAATTTTGGGCCATTTCTTTTGGTCCAATCATTATGAAATTTACACACAATTTTTTGAAGGTAAATCACAATGGCCTGTCCACTGGAAAAAGGTTTTCTCCCCAATTTAGTCGTCTCCAATTCCACCCGCTAGTTAGGACTCCCCCAATCACACATGACGCTATCAACGCTAGGAGGGTGAAGGCTAACACAGGCTTCCTCTGAGACCTGTGAAACCAGCCACCGCTTCTTTTCGAGCTGCCGCTCACACAACGTCACTGGACAGCCGAACGCGCTCGGAGGAAAGCGCCAACCGCCAGATCTGTTACGTCAGCTAACAGACGCCTGCGCTGACTAGCATCGCGCTGAGTGGTGGGGGGAGAAGGAGGGGCCATCCCACCCACCCAGAGAGAGCGAGGCCAATTGTGCTCTCTCGGACTCCCGGCTACGGACGGCTGTAGCATCACCAGGGATCGAACTCGCGATCTCCTGATGACAGGGCCAACGCTTAGACGGTTGCGCCACTCGTGAGCCCGGAAAAAGTAAGTTTAAGCCACAAAAGTATGGGAACCCCTGCATTACATGATGAATTGTGTCATGACACGTTTTAGAACGCAGCGACATGCAGAACCTGTTTGCGTAGCTCAAAGCGTTCCCGTTTGTGTAGTACTTAGTCAGGCCTTCTGTTCAGAGCCTGTTCCCTTTAACAGTGTACGTTTCTACAGACTGATGACACGGTTTCCCCCTTTTGCGCTCTTAGCGTCGTCACGCTGTCAGACGCCGTTTTCTGCCTGTAGAAAGTCTCTGCTGAATTTATTTGTCTTGCTGTGGAGGATATGTTCTCAGCTGCTGTCAGCTGTGTTAAACAGCTCAAAGCGCTTCAGTCAGCAGGGCCCCCTGGTGACCTCATTATCTCCACGCTCTTTACCACACCACTCGCTCCTCTGCGACACGCATCCCAGCTGAACTGTTGCTTTTTATTTGACTGTGTTATGTACTGTGGATATTAATAAGAGATGAAAAGTCTTTCTAATGTAGGTGTCAGTCAGTTCCTTTGCTTCTTATGAATCAATCATTCAAGCCCGAAGGCCGTCTCTGCTGTTCAGTTCCTGTCAGTTTCTGAATGCTGTTCATTTTATATTTGACATGCACTTTTTATTTTTCCTTTAGATGTTCTTTTATCTTTTATTTATTATTAGGCCCTTTTTTTTGCTTTTGTGTATGAAATGTGCTACATAAATAACTTGCCTTGCCATGCTTAAAGAACATATTAAGAGATTTTTTAGTCCGTTTGTGCCACAAACTACCATTTTGAACAAAAAAAAACACAAACAGGAATACAAAAAAAACGCACGGCCATGTGTCGGTACAGTTTCCTGCACCTTTTACTGCCTATAAAATGAGCAGTAGAAATAACCCAGGTTTATTTTAATCTCCTGCCAATTGACATGTCTGTAAAAATGCTGTCAGATTCTGTGGAAGAGGAGTTTCTGAAGAATGAAGGCTCAAAGGAACGTTTACTTCTGCTTTCTGGGGCAAAAATCAAGTCATTCTGTACTGACCTACCTCAAGTGTACAACTCAGAACTTATTTGTGCCGAGATTTCTTAATGTCCTGTGGTAAACTAGCACTACCCCACTTCTTCCCGTGAAGAACTAATCCTGTCCAAATAGGGGTGCGCGATAAATTGAATTTTCATTGTTATCGCAATATGAGTAACTTACCCATTCAGCCAAAGGGCAACTGCAAAACACACATTCAGAGACCTTAAAATGTCACCATAACTCAGTTTTAATAGATATTCAACTACAAAACACACACTGAGACCTTGCAATGTCCCCATAACTCGGCTTTAATGGAAACTCAACTACAAAACACACAGCGAGGCCTTAAAATGTCCCCATAACTCAGCTTTAATGGAAACTCAACTACAAAACACACAGCGAGGCCTTAAAATGTCCCCATAACTCGGCTTTAATGGAAACTCAACTACAAAACACACAGCGAGGCCTTAAAATGTCCCCATAACTCAGCTTTATTGGAAACTCAACTACAAAACACACGAGACATCAAAATGTCCCCATAACTCAGCTTTAATGGAAGCTCAACTACAAAACACACAATGAGACCTCAAAATGTCCCCATAACTCAGCTTTAATGGAAGCTCAACTACAAAACATCTGCAGCAAAGTGAGAAACACGCAGCATACCGGCTGCTCAGGCACTACTGTTTTTCTGCTGGCTACCTTACGCCCCCCAGAGTCCTTCAAAATAAGAGTCCCAGACCAACTAAGAACATGGTGCCTAACTACACTCAATCAAAAGCAACAACAACATTATTTTTAAACTGAATACAGCCTGGTGTGTCTGACACCACAATATTTAATAACTAAATAAAAAAAATAATATATAAAATGAAACAAGAATATGTGTTTTTTGCCTGTATAATAAACATATATTGATTTGGTTTTGTAGCCTTTATAGAAAAAGCCATTGAGGTAATGCTGACTGTTTCTCAGCCCTTGTTGCTTGCAGTTGTAATGATGTAATTTCTATGTAGTTATTAGTGTTTTATTTCTTTTTATTATGCAGAATTGTAAATTTTGCTTTTGTAATTTTGTATTTTGGTGTTTGTTTAAGGAAGGGGTTTAAAGAGAGATTAGTTACATTGCTGTTTACACATCCCAAAAAAAAGTCTGCACTAGCATACACTACATCCAGCCAGAGACACATTATTTTGATAGTAATTTATCGCTTTCCGTATTGCCATCGTGATATTTGACAGCTTCATAAACATTGCATTTTATTTCAAAGTCATGCAGCTCTAGGTTACTATTTTTTACTATTATTGTCTTATTTTCATTATTCTATTATTTATTTGTTTATTTATTATTATTCATATTCTTATTCTTATTTTATTATTATTTTAGTCATTTTAATACATTTTTTGTTTACTTCTTGATCTTATTCTCCCTTTATTTTAATTTGATTTGATTAATTAGCTACATTTTAATTATGTTTTCAACTGTATTTGTATGTATTTTTATTATTAATGTTTTTTTTTTGTACTTACCTGAATTGAGTCATTTTTTATTGAATTTACTTTTATTATTTGATATGTTCTTACACATTATCAATTCCTTTTCCTGTATCAACTCAGCAACATTGTAAATTAGGGTCACCCTCAATGATCTCCGAGGTTAAATAAAGGTTGATTAGATTAGATAAATAGTACTTTTGGCACTAAAGTAGCTACAAACTTAAAGCACAATCCAGAGCTGCTCTGCATATCTTAAAAAATCTCTGTCGTCACTGCAGCTTGTTTGATTAAGATGTGGTGACTATTTCAAAGCTAATATATCACTGAATATTGGCACATGTGTAACCCTGGTATACACCACTGCTGAAGCCAAACTCTTACGCCATTGTGTTGTGCAGGAGGAGGCGGTGAGCTACTACACTAAGCTGGAGGCCAAGCTGAGGGAGGAGTACAAGAAAGAGAGAGAGAAAGTCAACACTAAACCTTTGGACATGGCCTTCGTCACCTTCCAGAATGAAGCCATGGCTGCAGTGTAGGTTTGAAAGGCTGTGTGTTTAAATGCACAATGAATGTATTACGCAGCTTTGGTAGTCGGTCACACCACCAAAATCAGTGCTGTTGTCCTTGTTTGGCAAATGGGAATCTGCAATTACAGAAAGACTTGGGCTCCCCTGGTCAAATTACATGTTGATTTTCTACAGAGAGAACACTATTTAATGCATATTTACTGTTTATTTGCTACAGTTAACAAAAATTATGGCACGTGTTCATTTTTTTTTCTCCCAATAACTTAAACTCAAATACATAGACGTAGTGCATTAACGTTTGCAGGAAAATATCCTATTTAAGTTTGTTTTCTGTAGAGCAGGGGTCCTTAATTAAAATTCAATAAGGTCCAGTTAAAAAAAATTTCCTCAAGCGAAGGTCCGGAACATCATAATGTCTAACTTGCATCATGATTCAGTGCCATTTACTGTTTACTGAAGTAGCCTAGTAGGTATATCAACATCTTATACAGTCAACAACTGAATATCAAATCAAATAAAATAAAATTCAGTAACATTTTAATAATATTTGTCAGTTTTCTCTTTTTAGAGCACGGCATGTGAAATAACCTCCCTCTGACTCACTTTCTTCTCCGACTGCTGTTTTTCACTTCGCCCCTCCCCTGTATGTGCATCACTCACTCGAGTCTCAGTGCTCATCGTAATGCACAGATCTGATTGGCTGACTAGCATCACGCGTGATATTTACAACGCATGCGATTGGTCTGTGAGTTTCCCGGGCCGCTCAAGCTACCGTAAAGGCTAGAAAAGTTATGCCGATTAAAATAGGACCACCCCAGTCGAAATTAAAGAATTCTCCATAGTTTATTGGTTATAGGTTTAGGTCCGCATAGGACAGCGTCTGGGTCTGGACTCGGACCGCGGTCCGCCTATTAGTGACCTCTGCCATAGAGGATACTTAGAAAATCAGCAGAACAAATCATTTGAATCTGATTCAGTCTTTAAACTTTGGGTTAAATACTGTATGCATGAACTTGCAGATATTTATAATGATAGTATGGTTGCCTTTTGAAGAAAACAGAAGATTTAGATTTAGATTGTGCTTCTGTGTCACCTGTAAATATTGAAATGGTGCTGTGCAGATCTGATTTGAATGTGCGTTTTGCACATTCACGTCTAGGGGTAGGGTATCCCGATTCTTGTTGAGATAGAGGGGTAGGGTGAAGTGTTGGGGCTACATGGCCCTCCAAACGGAGGTTTTTCAGTGACTCCAAACAGAGAGATATGAGAAAAAAAGAAAAACCGGCAAGATGGAGAACAAGAGACCAAAGAAACCCACAAATGTGAGAATTTTCTGTGTTAAAAATTAAGATAACCATTGTTTTATCTTAGTTTAATGTCGTTTCAGTGTATTATGGTCCTTTTCTTCTTAACAAGCATTAAAAATCGCTAGTAGAATGCTGATGTTGTGATAGCTAGCTAGCTAACTTTCCTGTTCCACCTTAAATGCTACAGCAGTTCTGAGGCACGAAAATTCTAACTGCTGCACTGTTTAAGGTGTAATGGGAAAATTCGAACAGGAAGCTGGCAAATAGCTGAATTCAGCTTCATATCACTGAAGAATTGGGGTGGTTGATAATAAATAATTGCCCCCCTCTTTGAAGGCATATGATGCCCTAAATGTAACTAAAGCCCAGCAGTGAGGAGCTGAACTTTACCCTCCTCTGCTGTCACTGCAGACTGGCAGGGAAGATTTCAACCACTGACCCTTGTAACTCAGGTTCAAGGGGCAAGGTGACACTCAAAAACAAGGGGTAGGGGTAAAAATAAGAAATGGGATTGGACCGTATGTTTTTCCCACTTAACTCAATGAAAACCAACACATTTGCATGTATCAATCTATTCAGGCGAGAACAGTTCAGCCCCACTCTTTCATGCTGAAGTTACTACGGAGGGTTTCAGCTTGTACTGCTTCTTGAATGAGGCACAATACATGGCAGTCGATTAGAACAGAGCTCATTTACATATATCAGTCTTAAAGCCACAGCAACAAAAACAGTTTCATTCTAAAGGCCAAGCCAAGGGGCAGTTCCAAGGGGCAAAGTGACACCTGAAAACAAGGGGTAGGGGTGAAAATAGGAAATGGGATTGTGCCTTAACACTGTGGCTCCATCGTCATTGTGAAAATAATGTTTGTGTTATTTTATTACATTCTTCCCTTATTCAACGCTTTATATTTTTACTCTGTCTCTGTCTCTAGTATTCTGAAGGACTTCAATGCATGTCAGTGCCAAGGCTGTCACTGTCGCCGGGAGCCCAAATCCTCACCGTTCAGCAGCATCCTCCAAACCTTCAACTGGACGGTCACCTACGCTCCTGACCCGCAGAATGTTTACTGGTAAGAGCTTCTGTCCAGAACGTTCAGACCCTCTTTATCCACAGACACGACATACAATCCTGTTAAAATCAGTCCTTTGAGAAGTACCTCGTCATCACACAAGTACACAGGTCATGGAGTGCTATTGATCCAAAAACACTGCGCTTCATCCTACAGGGAGCACTTGTCCATTGGTGGCTTGACTTGGTGGCTCCGCTGCTTCATCATCAACTGCTTTCTCTTCATACTTCTCTTCTTCCTCACTACACCTGCCATCATCATCTCCACCATGGACAAGTTCAACGTCACAAAGCCTGTGGAGTACCTAAATGTAAGTGCAGCACGAAAAAAAGGGGTCAGTCTGAATTACCACAGTTCACGCCTGTTGGATCATGTGAATCTAGTTGAAACCAATTGTTGTTAATATTATAGGCCATATCATCTTCAATAGGGATGCATGCTGATATAGTAGTAGTAGTAGAAATAATAATAAGAAGAAGAATAACAATAATAGTTGTTGTTTTGTTATTATTATTATTATTATTATTATTAACAAATATTGTCATAGTGACATATATAGAACTTTCAGAGGGCCTGGAGTGATTTTTTTTTTTTCCCTCACAAAATTGGTCCTAAAATGTGATTGATTTGTTCCTCCATCACTTCATATTAGGCTGTATTAGGCTGTTGATCTAACCTGTAAGGTCTTCAGTCTAGCTCCTGAAGTCCTAACCAGTAGGAGAGCTCGCTTAACTATATCTACCTAGGTAGCACGGAGGAAAAAAAATCCTGATTGGCCAGTTAATTCAACTAAGTAGCTATTGGCCGAGGCCTTGACGAGTTGAACTTGGTGTGCGAGGTGAAGGCTAATCTCTGCGGGGTGACGGCCCTCCAGGACGCCTGTGAACTAGAAGGAATGTACTTCCAGTTGTTGTTTTAGGTCACATCTTCAGTAAAATGGGACGTAATGAACTGATGTTGATCCAAATGTGCTCATAGTCCTGATGACCTTTGTCACTCCCATCCTCACTGTGTCCTTCCCCTCCACTGTCCTGCTTGGGTGTGGACCTCCAGAATCCCATAATCACCCAATTCTTCCCCACCCTGCTGTTGTGGAGCTTCTCGGCCCTGTTACCCACCATCGTCTACTACTCCGCCTTCTTCGAGGCCCACTGGACACGGTACACACTTTATCCCTGCCTTCCCTCTCACTTTCACACAAACACTCACCACAGCACTGGTTCGTGAAGGCCTGTCTCGTGGTCCCCCCTCAAAACACGACACTACAACAATCTTTGCTTTTCTCTGAGCAGTAGGGCTGTCAGACGGGCTCAGAAATTAAATACGACTTACCCAATTGTTCGTCAAATATTCAAATATATTCACATTTTTATTTTTATTAGTAGTTGTATTTACTTTGCACAGTTAATAAGTAGAAGATACATAAATGTAGTAAATGCTAAATCTTTAAATCAGTGTTAAAGGGGATCTCCACTGATTTCTCAAAAACAATGGACATAATTGAATGGTTGAGATGTAAACAAAGCCTTTCAGATTGGTTTGATTTGTTTACATAATATGTATATATATATATTACATGAATATGTGTGTGTAGGAAAACACATGCTTGTTAGACCCATGCTTTCAGCTGCAATGTGCCTTCTGACCCTGGTGTTTCTGGGATTTTGACACAGCTCTGGAGAGAACAGGACCACCATGCACAAGTGCTACACTTTCCTCATCTTCATGGTCCTCCTGCTGCCGTCTCTGGGACTCAGCAGGTATGTCTGCTTCATATACAACTCCACAGTGACCAGAAGAAAAGCACAGTCCAGAAACATCTGACTGTTTACATGTGTAGTGCTAAATTCCTCATAGATTATTTACAACCAGCTGAAATAGTGACACTATGAAGGAAAGTCAGAGACCACCCTTCACTTATTTAGTTTCCAGACAAAACAAGTTATTCATTTTTTTGACATTCTCCTTCCTTACCCAAGTGGATTATCTTGTATCTAATCTCCTCAGAAATATCTCCTGAAATATGAATATGTTGTACTAAATGGAGGTTTTGGCTGGAAATTAAGGGACAGAAAGGTGGTCTCTGACATTTACATAGTACTGTACATATTTCATATGAAGTGCAAATGAAAACGGTGCATTTTTCTCAGTACAGGCAATCTTTACTTTGGAAGTTAGTATTTTAACTATAACAGAATGTTCTGTGTCACTTTTATAACGTGTTCTGTGATCGCTCTTTCCTGCTGTAGCTTGGATGTGTTCTTCCGCTGGCTTTTTGACAAGACATTCCTGGATAAAGCAACAGTGAGATTTGAGTAAGTTTGTACAAAAGCAGGCAGTTTTGGCTTGTAAACTATGGGATTATTTTGAATTAGGTGATGTCAAATCGGTAACACTGTGTTAGTTTCTCATCTCTGACGTACAAAATACATTTGGCATCTGCACAGTAACAGCTCTGTAATAGACGCAGCTCAGGCTCAGAGACGCCTCATCGGCGTCTCATCGCCTCATGGAGTACCTCATCGGTCTTGTACTCTAAGAACGGAAAGTGAAAATGTGCATTTTTTTGCTCCCTGTACATTTTTTTTATATACGATGTAAAGTGTTTCAGTCTCTCCGTGGGCTGCTCCCTCCTTGTGTATGGCTACGTTTACACAGCAGGTAAAAGTGGCCCAAATCTTGTTTTCTCACCAAATCTGATTTTTTTGTTTGGCTGTCCACAATATCTTTTAAATGTGATCTATATGCGACAGTCTGAACAGATCATCTCCTAAACTGACTCACAGGAGGGGAAAAAGGGCACATTATTCAGCCACGGTCTCTTCTTTGGTTCGCGTCCTCGAATTCTTTAAACTTTGCTTTCAGACTTTTAACTCTTCTGTGACGCTGCAGCCTCGTTCTCCTGCGGCCGCGTTCGCCATTTCTTTCAAAATCTTCTCGAACACGGAGGGTTTTGGATGAGTCTCTTCTGATTGACTGTTTTGACCACCATGGACCTTCACCCTGTACAACAACCTCACCTGCATGAACTGACCCTCCTGCTGCTGCTGCTGCTGCTGCATAAACTCAAACTATCTAATTAACCATTGCTCCGCCTGTTTTTCCCCGTTTTGTATTATAACATTTTATACTAGCGCTGTTTCCTATCCGGTGTCGACCAGAGGAGGATGGGTTCCCCTTTTGAGTCTTGGTTCATCTCAGTGTTTCTTCTTCTTGCTCTTAGGGAGTTTTTCCTTGCCACTGTCTCCATCGGCGACGCTCATGGGGGCTCGGACCCAGATTTTTCTGTGAAGCTGCTTTGTGACGACACCTGTTAATAAACTTCGACTTGACTTTTTTATTTTATTTAAATTTTTTGAAACATCAGCCGAAATGTTTGAGTCTCAGCAGTGCGGAATTATGACGAATGTCGAGTTGGTTTGATGTAAAAGTCGCATGAATTCCGATCTGGCTGTTCAGATGGAGTCGCGTTGCCGCAGACCAGATACGTTTCAGATTTCAGTATCACATATGAAAGCGTCTCAAATCGGAACTGAAAATGTCAGATTCAGTGTGTTTATCTGTTCACACTGACACACAGACACACATCTGTGTCACATATGGAGAAAAAGATCAGATTTGGGCCACTTTTACCTGCTGTGTGAACAAAGCCTTTGTAATTTACTCCAATCGTACTGGTACGAATATAATTGTGGTCCAGCCTTTGTTCTGTTGGTGATTAGGGCAGAACAAAAATATCTCATTTAAATCTAATTTAAATTGCAGTTGTTTTCTATAAACCAAGATATAGGCGCTTTTATTGGCTAAGAAGACCAGCTTCTACTTTTTCTGGCTGAGACTTGAGCTTCTCACACAGTGCACCAGCCTGTCATTTATTTATGGTTGTGATGTCACAGCACATGGATGTTTGCTTCTGATTATTCAAACTCGTTTAAAAGCAGTTCACAAGCTTTGTGTTATTAGATAAAATTTCCCTACTTAAAACTTGCAACGGTGTCGTTAATAGACTGAAAGACTATAATAAAAATTGCAGCTGAAAGTTGCACTCTTTCAAATAGCGATTTTGATATAAAAACGATTAATCTTTCAGCCCTATTGGTGAAATGACAATTAGGGCCACTGGCCCAAAGCTCTGTAATGCTCTCCCCATAAACTGCGCACTTGTACATCTTTATCTACTTTTAAATCTGATCTCAAAACTCATCTTTTTCAGTTTGCCTTTGACTGATTTCATAACCGTATTTATTCACTCTTTTCTTTAATCTGATGTGATTTAACACATTTATTTTCCTTTTTTTTGTATAATATTTTGTTGGGCTTTTAATGTCTTGTAGTGTCTTGAAAGGCACTTCTAAATAAATCCTATAATTCTTCTTCTTTTCTTCTTCTTCTTCTTATTATTATTGTTATAATTATTATTATTGTCTGAAATATGAATTTGTTTGGCAAATGGTTTTTAACAGTGTGTTTCCAGATCTTTAGTAAGATGTTTGTCTTCCTCACCATTTCAGATGTGTGTTCCTCCCTGACAACGGAGCCTTCTTCGTTAATTACGTCATCGCCTCAGCCTTCATCGGTAATGCTATGGACCTGTTACGCATCCCAGGCCTGCTCATGTACATGATCCGCCTCTGCCTGGCTCGCTCTGCAGCCGAGAGACGCAACGTAAAGAAGGTACTGGATCTCCTCCACAAACTACAACCCAGTGCTGTATTTTTACATTCACAGTCAGTTGCAATTTTTAGGTTCAGCTGTTTTGAACCATACAGGTGCACTTTTAGAGGCGTATCCAAGGGGGTCTAATTTTAACCGGCTCAAATGTTTCACCCAACCCCCTTGGATATATATATATATATATATCGATCAGGCATAACATTCTGACCACCTCCTTGTTTCTATGCTCATTGTCCATTTTATCAGCTCCACTTACTATATAGGTGCACTTTGTAGTTCTACAGTTACAGACTGTAGTCCATCTGCATGTTAGTGTGTGTTGTGCTGGTATGAGTGGATCAGACACAGCAGTGCTGTTGGAGTATTTAAACACTGTGTCCACACACTGTCCACTCTATTAGACACTCCTACCTTGTCAGTCCACCTTGTAGATGTAAAGTCAGAGACGATAGCTCATCTGCTGCTGCACAGTTTGTGTTGGTCATCCTCTAGTCCTTCATCAGTGGTCACAGGACGCTGCCCACAGGACGCTGTTGGCTGGATATTTTTGGTTGGTGGACTATTCTCAGTCCAGCTGTGACACTGAGGTGTTTAAAAACTCCAGCAGCACTGCTGCGTCTGATCCACTCAGACCAGCACAACACACCCTAACACACCACCACCACGTCAGTGTTACTGCAGTGCTGAGAATGATCCACCACCCAAATAGTACCTGCTCTGTGAGGGTCCATGGGGGTCCTGACCACTGAAGAACAGGGTAAAAGGGGGCTAACAAAGTATCAGAGAAACAGATGGACTACAGTCTGTAACTGTAGAACTACAAAGTGCACCTATATAGTAAGTGGAACTGATAAAATGGACAATGAGCGTAGAAACAAGGAGGTGGTCATATTGTTATGTCTGATTGGTGTATATTGTTATCACAATATGACTTTCTGCAATAAACATATCATTCAGGGCTTCATGCAGCACCAAAGTGGCGTAATTAGATTGGCGGGAATAAAGCGTTAATAGCTGACGAGTGCTTCCCTGCGCTGTGCTCGAGCCGTGCTCCCCCTGAACCACTAACCTGTAAAAATACTTAAAACATGATGATTATTCTCATTTTGTCATTTTTGTAGCAAAAGCTATTCAGGAAAACGGAATTACTGTTTCTCAGCTTTTCAGATGTAATTTTGCATTTTTAGCTCTTTGCTTAAAGGAGAGGTTAGTTAGAATCCTGTTTGCACAGAAAAAGGTCTGTATTTGCGGCACATCCAGTCAGAGAGATGCTATTTTAATTGTAATTTACCACTTCTTATATCGTGATATTCAAGGGCTTCATCATGTTTTATGTCCATATTGTGCAGCCCTGAAGCACATTCACTACCATATGACTGTGGGGCAGAACCAGCCTATCAATAGCTTGATTAAATTAATTATTAATAGAATAGCCCAGCGAATATTGCCAAAGAAGCATATCCAGTTACAACTCATTAGATTCCGATTCTCTACGAATGTTATTGGCTGGCGTCTTGTCAGACAGTGAGGGTCATAGAGAACAACAAAAAAGAAGGCTTCAGTGCTTAGCTGTGTTTTCTTACACTCTCAGAAATAAAGGTACGAAACTGTCTCTGGGTCAGTTCCCCTCTCGTCACTGGTGTGGTTCCCTCAACGCTCCATCTCAGTACCTTTAGTCAGGGAACATAACTGAACCATAATCCACTGAAATGATATGTTCTGAGCTGTACTGACTCCACACACCCCGTCTCGTCTCCAGGCTTTTATTTTATTGTTCTGTTTAAAACATTCGGTTATGAAAAGGTACAAATACGAACTTTTCACCTGGAGAAACTGATTTAAGGTTCACAATCAGACCTTAAAACCACTGTTGGAGCTTTGAGGGAACATTTACACTGTTTGTACCTTGATGAACAAAAATGTACCTGAACAGAACCTTTATTTCTTACAGTGTGGGATACAGAACAGTTCTCAAAATTTAAGAAAAGTTAAGTTTTAAGTTGGTTAGCTCTCACTCAAATAATTACGCTAATTACAAATAAATAAATACGCGTTGTTTAAAATAACGTCAGCAGTGTCTGAAACAATCTGCCAAATGCATGAAGATTTTCTATCTGTGCTAAGATAAACTCAGAGCTAAGGTCTGATATACTGTTCCTGCAGACGCTTCGCTGAGAAAAACAACAGAAGACGATGTAAAAGTCGATTTTATTAGATGCTTTCGAGACGACAAAGTTGCATGAGTGCTCACTTAAAAATGATGGTTAATTAAGAAAACACTCTCAAAGAACCCTTTGCATGGTTGAATGGTTCTTTGCATTGTGAAAGCATTCTTCAGCTTGATGGAGAGTGTCCTGTATATGGTTCTATATAGAACCTTTTTGAAAAGCGTTCTTATATAGCACCAAAAAAAGTTCTTCTATTGTTACGATGTCAGGCTTGTTACAATAGAAGAAGCTTTATTGGTGCTATTTCGAAAAGGTTCTACATAGAACCATCTGCATTCTTAAAAAAGATGGTTCTTCAAGGGTTCTTTCGTAAAGAAAATAGTTCTATTTTGAACCATGAACACTCAAAAACACTTTGCGTGATTGAAGGGTTCTTTGCATCATTAAAGTGTTTTTCAGATTGATGGAGAATGTGCTGTCGATGGTTCTATATAGAACCTTTTTGAAAAGGGTTCTGTTTAGCACCAAATAGGGTTCTTCTATTGTTACGATGAGAACCTTTTTTGGCGCTATATAGAACCCTTTTCAAAAACGTTCTATATAGAACCATCTACACTCTTAAATAAAGATGGTTCTTTAGTAAAGAAAAGGTTCTATAGAGAACCATGAACACTCAAAGAGCCCTCTGCATGATTAAAGGGTTCTTTGCACCATGAAAGGGTTTTTCAGATTGATGGAGAATGTGCTCTAAATGGTTCTGTATAGCACCAAATAGTGTTCTTATATTGTTGTGATGTCAGGCTTGTTACAATAGAAGAACGCTTTACAGAACCCTTTCAAAAGGCTCTATGTAGAACTGTCTATAGCACGTTCATGCACATTTTCCATCAATCTGAAGAACTTTCACAATGCAGTAGTCTTGCAGAAGGTTCTTTGAGTGTTCATGGTTCTATATAGTGCCATTTTCTTTGTTAAAGAACCTTTAAAGAACCGTTTTAAGTGTGCGGTATTAGACGAGTGTTCAACACTGCTGTTCAGGATTCAGTGTGAACAGTCATGAAGTTTGGGATCAGTGTAGTAGATGCTCTCATACATATTAACACAACATGCTGACGATGGTGATGTTCTGATGTGCAGCATCAAGCGTACGAGTTCCAGTTCGGGGCGGCGTACGCCTGGCTGATGAATGTCTTCACGGTAGTCATGACCTACAGCATCACCTGCCCCATCATCGTTCCTTTTGGTAAGCTCCTCAAATCCAGCTTGAAAAAGAAAAGAGTGGCACTTTATACTGTTTATGAAACTAATGAAATAATAACTGAAGTAGATTTGATCATGTTTGCATTGTCAGTACGGATATAAATGATTAACCAATCACTAACCAACGAATATTCAGCTGATAGGTAAGTGTGGGGTCAGTTAAAAATCTTTATTTTTATTTAATAACAAAAACAGTTCCTATTTAATTAGGTGGGTTTATTGTTCAGGTTGAGGAACTGTTGTCACAACATAAATGGTAAGAAGAGCCATTTTGTCCTTTCTACAAAAATTAAACCACCTTAAGAGGCATAACATTTTATGTCTGTTTCACCATCTTGGCTGTAAATGTGTCTCAGTATGTGCTGATGTGCTAGTATAGGCTAAAAATGATAATATAAACAAAACTCAGGCTTACTTTGCTCTGCTTTAATCTTTAGCTCAGCTATAGCTGCTTTTCTCACATCTCCAGCAGGAAACTTTTCCTCAAAAGTAGCACAGTTTCTTGTAAAATGTCTCTCAACGTTCAACTTTTTACGAGGCTGAGGTCGCTTCTCATTCGCCAGCTTCTTGTTCAAATTCTCCCGTTCCACCTTAAATGGTGCCTAAGGTGCCAGAATGTAACTGCTGTACCATTTAAGGTGGAATGGAAAAATTCAAATGAGAAGCTGGCGAATGAGAAACTGACTTCAGTTTCATGACCTTTTAGTGTTTGTCAGTTTCTCTTTGCAGATTAAACGTATCAGGAAACCAGCTGGAGTGACTATAAACGCACACGAGTCCATTTGTCTCCAAATTATCAATGTTTGTCTTATATCTCTCTTTTTGCCTTTTCAATAGCTACTAGCTAGACGAGATTGTTGTCTGTTTTGCTATGGTGACCAGCAGTCTGTGCACCAGTCTTCAGAGTTAATCTGAATTTCACATGACCAAATCGTAAGGCAAATTATTCAGTAACTGCATGAAATAAATGTAAATTTTTATTTTATTTATTTATTGTAAAAGTTCCCCTCAAATTAACAGAACATGTTTTATGATCACACATATTGCTATATGCTTACAATTCACTGCTGAAAGCCAAAAATCTTAGACGCTCTTTGTATTATTTTATAAAAATATTTACAGAGCAGATCACTGAAGAGACGCCATCTGTTTATAGTTTATAGCCCAGATTTGTGGAAAAATGGGTCGACTTTCAGTAGAACAAAAACTGAGAATGTAGCTTATGAAATATGAAAGTTATGAAGAATATGACGAAGTGTGTTTTGGAACCACCGGTGGAGTCAAGGAGTTGAAGAGGTTAAACCATTTACTGATAAAACTATGTTAAAATGACAGGCAGAGCTTTATTTTACTGTAAGGGAGGATTATTTTATTTTTACCTAAAAATTTAATTCTGCTGTGGAGCCGCAACAGGACAGTAAAAGAGCCGCAAGTCGCCGACCCCTGTGATCGATAGACCTGCTGAAAAATAAAGCATCCAGCTAAAAACAGTGGTGATCAGGAGTCTTTTCAAGAGGATGATGTTACAACTACAATGATTAAGCAAACGTCCACAAGTGACAAAACACACGACTGTTTGGTCCGTGTTCTCCAGGAGAGCAGGCGTGTGAGGAAATCACGCATGAGTGTGCAGAATTATAGAGAAGTACGAGTTATGAGTGATAAATATAACTGAGAACTTCAGATTATAGAACTTTCACTACCTCATTATTATATACTCCAGATCTTTAGTCAACTTTTACTATTTGTTCTTGTAATTATGAACATACAGCTCTCAGCGCTTCAGTTTAACTGGGTTCTCACACAGCCTTTGTTTAAAATGGTTTCAGGCTGTTTACCATGCATTCCACCCATCAGTACTACATTCCACGCTCAGTACAAGGAACACTGATGTGTGCAGGCATATTTGTGCATACATCAAATATTTTAGGATAGCCTCAAACTTGGCTTGACCAGTCAGCTTTCAGAACTATAACTATAGTTGATATTTTGATTATTATTAGGGATACAGTTAAATAGATGTCCCTAATTGGCGATTATAAAACGTTTTCAAAATCACTGCTGTTGGAAGAAAACCTCGTATCTCCATTTTTGTCATTTTTCAGTTTTTGACATAATTTGAAAACGCCTGTTGCTCTTTACAAAGTATGTAAATTTCATGATGAATGGACCAAAAGAAATGACCCAAAATGACTTCGGAAAAAAGTCTGGTTCCACTGACTTACAACAAAAATAAAGTAGGTTATGATTGTGTTAATTAAAATTACTTTATTAATTAGATTATAAACACCTTAAAAAACATTTAATAAGCAGTTACAGCACATAAATAAGAAGGGCAACACTGACCTGCTGCTTGCCAAATAGTGAGCCCACATTCAAAGCATTAGCAAAACAATAACACAACAAGAGCAATATGAATAAAGAATAAAGGCCTCACAATGAATATACAGAAATGAACATGGAATAAGAACAGAAGAACTACTGTTACTCTTACAGTCACTGGCTGCTGTTAGAGGCCTGTCAGAGAAACAAATGAGAAATAGAAATTTATGAAAACCAGTGAGATTTTATAAACATGCTAAGCAATAATTGAAATCTAAGTCAATGCTTTGATGGTTGTTTATCTGAGACCAGTTTTATATTTTATGGCTCCCCCTAGTGGACACATATATAACATTACTTCAAAGGGCATTTCGTTAACCCCTCAAATGGCCAGGACACACCCGCAGGTCCAAAGTTTGCTACACACTCCTATAACCTAAGAATAGCTCAGCCAGTTTGTATTGTAGTCTGTGTAGTTACTGAATAATAAGCCTTAGTAAGGCTACGTTCACATTACAAGCCGATTTTTGCTCAGATCTGATCTTTCTGCCTCAAATCTGTCTGTAATATGAACAAACCTGAGTCCTGAAACGAGCCACATTCTCATGTCCTAATCAGTAACGTCATGTGAGTGAACCCCGTGTGTCATGAACAGCAAACTAATCATAAGTGTGCGTAAGAACGAGAAGAATTAGCCCTGAGCAGCTCTCAGCTGTTTATTATTAGAGCGAGACGACAGTGAAAAAGGGTCAGATGCTTATGCAGCCTTTACTGGTACAGACTTCAGGTCTGGCACTGCTGCCTCGGTAATGGGGCTGAACGATTTGGGGAAAATATCTTAATTGCGATTTTCTGACCAGTATTGTGGTGGCAATATTTAAATACAATTATTTTCAATAAATTAATTTCCAGGCCTGGTTTTTTTGCCAAATAGAGCAGCATATACCATTTTTCTGGCATAAAGCTTGAACTCTGAGTGCGCCAGACCACCAGTTAGCTGTGATGGTTGTGATGTCACACACAGAACATGTGGGTTTTGTAGCTTCTGATTGGTCTCACTCATCTACAGGCAGTTCACAAGCTCAGTGTTATTATATTTGCCCATTTAAAACTGAAGACAACTTTTCGATAATTCAAATTTCAAATTGCGATTTCAGTATGAAAACGACTGATCTTTCAGCCCCACGTGAAAATACTGAAGGATGCTGCACGTTTAGTGAAAAAAGCCACATGAATTCAGATCTGAAGGTTCTAATTAGGTCACATGGCCACAGATCTGGGGCCGTATTACAGAAAATTCTTAAGTCTGAGATCTGCTTTGTTGTCATGGCAACTTCAGTTTAGACTCAGGACAGAAGCCATTACAGAACAACAGTTCTTAAATGTATGATCTTATTTCTAGATAAGAAAACGGTTTTACAGAAACATCCTAAGTTGCCAAAATATCCTAAATATTTTCTTAACTTTAAAATAAACCCCAGAGCGTCTGAACTTCTGTTTTAATTGTTTTATTTAACGTCTGTTTCTGTTGTTTTATGCAGTGATAGCCAGCATTATTCACTGTACACATTTATCTACACTGAAAACGGAGCTTTGGCTGAGTTTTATTTCTAACAGCGTTTAAAAGCCCAGACTCTGCAGACTCGATCTCCACCGTCACTCTGATTAGCTTCGTGTGTTAATGTTGATGATGAAATATTACAGTGATGGTGGTGAATAATGAGGAGACGGAGCTGAACGTGTGTCTGTTTATTAGGACGAGTAACGTTAGCGCGCTCGGCTAAAGCGTTTGGGAAATGGAGACCGAAACTGAAAGTGGCGACGCTCTGACGTGCTAACAGCACAAAACGCTGCCACAATATTCTTAACTTTCTGTTTATCGCGCTTTAGTTTTATTTGCCTTTTTTTTACATCAGTAATGGTAGCTAACGTCAGCTGTCTGGCTCACTAACTTGATTACGTGTTTACGTTTCAGCTGTGCGCGTATGGTCGGTTGCTAGGTAACAGACACGACAGTTAATTATCGACTTGAGTAAGTTAAGATTTCCTAACTTGAGATAAAAAAAAGTTGCTGTAAGATAAGATTCTTAAATTAAGGATTTGCTTCTGTGATACAAATTTATGAAAAGTCTTATCTTGACTTGTCAGATCTAAAGTTCTGACAAAAAAGATAAGAATTTTCTGTAATACGGCCCCTGATATTTATCCAATCTAGGACCACGTATGAAAGTGGCTCAGATCAGATTTGAAAAGATTAGATTTGTGTGCCACGCAGCTCTGAAAAAATCAGATGTGCCACCATAATAATTAATGAGGTTAATGCCAGTTCAGCCTGGTAACGTGTTTGTCGCCTAATAAGGCTGAGATTTTAAAAGGTTAATGCATTGCACTCAGCAAACTGGACTCACTGAGGAGCTCTTTAGATTCACCAATATATTTACACTACTTATCTCCCTCCTGCTCTCTCCACCGTTTAGGTCTGATGTACATGCTGCTAAAGCACTTGGTGGACAGATATAATATGTACTACGCTTACCTGCCCTCTAAACTGGACAAGAAGATCCACTCCGGAGCTGTAAACCAGGTGGTTGCCGCACCAATTCTGTGCCTCTTCTGGCTGCTTTTCTTCTCCACTGTACGCGCAGGTGAGCTGCCTTTTGGAGAAATAGCCTTTCTCAGATTTTCCTTCTTTTTTTGTTTTTTTTTTGGTATATATTTTGGCAGGAGTGTTTGTTCTGCCATGCTCAAACATTTAGTGGTGTGACCCACACATTCAGAAGCAAAATAAATGAATTAGCTTAAAGAAAGGACAGTTCCACCCAAATGTCTGCATGGTTCTAAATTCTGCATTGACAGGACAAAGTCATTCATTGTGGTTTGATGTGAAATGGTGCATTGTAGAAAATTGTGTGTGTATATATATATATATATATATATATATATATATATATATATACACACACACTTTTTTGGTATATTTATGTATATATTTTTTTCTTCTAACAATCATGGTAATACTAACCAGGGATCGCAATGTCTTCAGCGCAAATATAGCCATTTTATTTACTATCCAAAACCACCAGTGAACCTACACGAGTCTTCTGAGTTTATATGTTGATGTAAAATAGTGATAAATCTTTAAATGGGGTGGGGGCTATTCTGCCTTTCAGTGCCCTGCGTGTACCTCTCTGTGCTGAATGGGTTTAAAAATATATATGTTTTAGGCCCAAAATGTAGGTTAAATAATGGAAAATCAGAAAAATAAGTTTTTTGGAGGCATTATTATGGCTTTCAACACCATGAATGTACCCCTCTGTCATTAATGTATTTTAAAAATTAATATTTCGGACCAAAATCTTGTGAAAACTATCGTAAAACAGTGTTTCAGACATCAGGCAGTGAATTCATAACCATTTCATGTAGTAACTTTCAGTGAGGGAGCTTTTAGAGGTGGACGTCTGGTTCCTATCACCACCACTGTGAACAATTCTGACTCGGTAAGTTTCTCTAGAGCAGAGCGTTTCACACCAAACCACTCTGAATGACTCTGTTTACATTTTAATGACATTAAGAGTGAATTGTGCAGAAATTGGTGGAACTGCCTTCTAACCTTAATTCAGTATTTTTATACTGTCTATTCTGAGTTCTGTTGTTTATCATATTGATTTTTCAACAGGAACTTGCTGTATGCATTAAACGACGTTAAGCGCTCTGTGCTCGTATTCTCTAATGTTTTTCTTCCTGTTCTTTCATCTACCCAGGGTTTGTCGCAGCCACCTCACTGTTCACATTTGTGGTTCTGATCGTCACCATCATAATCTGCCTCTCTCATGTCGTGTTTGGGCATTTTAAGTACTTGAGCGCGCACAATTACAAGGTGAGATTCTGCAAATATTATTGCTTGGATTAAATGAATGGCCTGTTTTCCCACATCTCTCTGAGAATTTGTGCTTCTCTGCCTGCTTTATAGATTGACACCCAAGACGTGGACGGTGTAGAGAACGGTCAGCCGCCAGGCATTTCACCACCTGCCAAATCTGCCGTGAGTTTCTTTGGCAAAGTTCCTTATTGTGTTGTGACAGTGCAGTACATTTTGACACAAACTCCTCACACACACTGTCACACTGAGTGTGTTTACATGCACTTAATAATCTAATAACTGCAGAAAATCAGATTTTGTCAGTAATCTGATCAACGCATTTACATGCACTTGAGCAATCAGATATTGGGGAAACTCCAGGTCTACATGAGTCAGACAGTAATCAGATTCCTGCTTTGCAACCAGCCAGTAAACTCACAGAAGACGACGTGACTTGAAAAACTCAAACTTCACACCACAGATTTTTTTAAACATCGCTCGACTTTAAAGAATTAACGTACATCATCTAGAACTGGGTTTCTCAACCTGTGGGCTGCGGACCACCAGTGGGCCATGAAGCACCCTGTAGTGGTCTGCAGGCCTGAACTCGGGGGAGGCAGTAGTTCTCAGGGGGCCGGTAGCAACGTATAAATGAAAACACCACAGTCACAGGCTAGTTAAACGTCATCAGTCTGAGACAGCGCAGCCGCCGGCGCGCAGAGCAGACAGTCAGAGATTGGAAGGTTTCTCAGGGTGTTTCTCCTACCTTGTTAGGTGCGGACCGATCTTTTCTTTGGTTTGCTCCGTTTTGATGTGTGTCAACACTCCACCCGTATTCGGGTCTGCATCATACAGCTGCAACGGTCTGGCAGAACCTGCGGGTCTCGATATGCTTTGAACTGAACCCTGCTCATTTTGTAATTAAATGAAGGAATTCGTTAACAGAGCTGCTTAAACGGGGGTGTTCAAACATGAGTACAACTGTAGAGCTTCTCTGAACTGATGCAGCTGTAACAGATTTTGTTTCTCTAATGATTTGCAAAGATGGACTTGCTGTTGAAGTGTTGAAAGTTGTGCAGCTCCTGTTCTCATTTTTAAAAAGTTTGAAGTGATTTTTCAGAAAAAATTAACCCAATTGTAGTCAATGGTACAGGACATTTTTCTTCTGGAGTTTCTTTCTTTAGTTTTGACCTAGTGCTGTGAGGATAATGGAACAAAAAAATGTACAAACATACATTGCATAGTTAGAAATAGCAGTAGTGCCCCTGAATTTTGTTTATATTGTTGATTTTCATAGATATTTTCAGCAGTGCCAGAAAGTCTGTGGTATATCACTTAGCTCTTATTTTCTTATTTACTTATTTATTTATTTACAATTATAGTTAAAATTAAATTAATTTAAATTAAAGATAGATTTAAGATTAAATTAAAAATTAAATTTTAAACTAAATTTTTAACTATGATTAATTAATTTAGATTTATTTTGAAATTATTTTTCTGATTTATTTATTCTTATTTATTTCCTTATCATTTCACTTATTAAAGTCTATTATAGATCACTTAGCATTTATTTATTTATTTATTTTATTTTAAATTATGGTTAAAATTAAATTAATTTAACTTAAAGATTGATTTAAGATTAAATTTAAAATTTAATTTATTTGAAACTAAATTTTTAACTTTGAAAATGAATAAATTAAAATACATTTTTATATTATTATTTTTCTGTTGTATTTATTCTTATTTATTTCCTTATTTGTTCACTTATTCACACTTATTTTCTTCCCAGCAGAAGTACATCGCTCAGGTCCTCCAGGAGCAGACCTCAGAGGAGATGGGCTCGGGCAGCGGCGAGGACGACGGTCAGGGATCCTCGCAGGACGAGGAGATCCTCGGCCCGGGCTCGACCGTCAACGAGGCAGATTTCCAGTCGGGGGAGGACAGCCTCATCGACAACGAGGTGCACCACTGACCCCTCCAGGAGCGCCGCATGCGCTGCGCCCAGTGAATAAAGCTAGCCAGACTATATAGCAAACCAAACAGACCATGCAGAGTTGAAGCTGTGCTCCAGGACCCTTGTGCTAACCTCACAAACCCGGATACGTTCCTTCCATCGGGCCTGGAGGGCAGCTAGAAAACACTAACAGACCTGACCATTTTGTTTCTTACTTGACATGGAAAAAAGGCCACTCACGCTGTCGCGCACTAACCGAAAACACGAGACTAACCTTCACCAGGGAACCTTGCTTCACTACTGAGTCACGATCGCCCACACTAATCATCCTGCTGGGAGCCACAGGGACGAAGACGGGGGGTCTCTTGCGCTTCATTACTCCGCATTAATGCACTCGACGGTTTTTCTTTTTTGCTTTGAGAGGAAGGAGTCATGCGATCCTTTTGATTGTCGGTTGTTCATTATTTATGCATTGAACTCTTATGCATTAGTCCTGCTGTCTGAAACAGCCGAAGGGTTTTTAATCAGTAGTATCTGTAGTATAATGGGCTCGGAAACAAACACTGTCGTCTCTCTTTAAAGACGGAAGTTGGGGGTTCACTCGAAACACTCCGAAATGATATTTGGAAATGCATGGGTAGGTTTTTTTCTTCTCTGCAAACTCTGTTATTCCTGACGTTTGATGAACTGCTTCTCTGTGGCTTCGGCTGTAACCGAACTTAAATGCTAACTTAAATGGGCAAGCACCAAGTTCTTCTTTCATACAGTACATGAAGCTGAGCCACTAAACAACTGACAACTCTCCTACACTTACACACCAGTCTCACCGAACTGCACAGCGCCACATCTACATCTGTATATCTACAGATATAGATATATTTATCTGGCAGGCTGCAGAGACGCACTTTCAGTGGGATTATTCAGTATATTGTACCGACAGGACTGCATACAGAGTACGTGGTGGGGCTTTTCTCACCTCATATACAGATATACCTTCATACCTGATTGTAACGTGATGTTAGTTCTTGAAGTTGATGGACGTTCTCAAAGACAGACTGTACGTTTGTCAGTTCCTTGCACGTTCTAGCATGAGATTTGGGTATTTGACTTCATTTTGTTTGTTTTTTTTTTTAAATGAGGATACCTTTTTGTTATTCTGTTGCAGAAGCATGATTTCTTCATGAACTTCCTGTTTTTCTTTTGCATATTAAGTAATCAGAACCCCTCCTTTCTCGGAATCTGTCATGAAGTTAACGGCTGAAAATCAGGCCGGTTATTTAGATCCAGATATTATTCAGTAACTACATGGACTTCGGTGCAAACCGCCGGAGTTATTGTGAAGCTATAGAAACGTGGACATTGAGGGGGTTAAAATAATGTTGGAATCTAAACCTGATTAATAACTGGACAATGTTTCCCATAAATGGTTGAGTAAGCAAAGCTAATTTAAAGTCAGCGAAACGTGCAGAACTGAGATACGTCTGTATCGTTGTGGACTACAGATAAACGACCATGAAAAGAGTAGCGAAAGAACAGTTAAGTGTCTGTGATAGCAATAAACAGACCATTGACCACTTTTTGTAAATCGTAATAACGGTTAGTACTACTGTATTCGTTTTCCCCTTAATTAGAACTGACCGGTTAGTAAATCATTTGGCATCACTTTATTTGTAGGGTGGTGTTCATAGGGCTTCATGACACCTACATAAGCTCATCATGATGGCTGACATGAACATACTGACACATTTATTAACTGACAGGTGTCGTCTGTTATTTAATTAAACGCTGCTTTTGTCAGAGTCGACATAACAGTTGTGTCAGGTGAGCTCGATTTGTTCAGACTCTGGGTTGATTCGTGACATTTTTGGGTGAAATGCACAAGCATGTTATAACAGCTGACTTTGTAGCTTGGTGTATGTCGCCGTACCACAGAACATGCTCACTTTCGTCTGTCATATGACCCCCATGAAGGCTGCGTTCACATTACAAGCCTCGTTGCTCAATTCCGATTTTTTTACTCAGATCTGTTCTTTCTAACCTGATTGTTCATTACTGTGAACGAACCTGTGAACCTGTGCGCACATCCAACTGGGGGAGAGCGACAGCAAAAAAATCATGACATTTAAAGACGTTTTTTCACGAAAAACACAAAAAGTATTTAAAAGCTGCCATCAAAACTCTGGTTACAATGACTTTTACTCATCATTTCACATACTGTACTGCTCTGAATCCAAATAAACAGGACTAATTAGACTTTTTAACAAAACTTTAAGTACTGACGATATCCATGAAATGCTCGGACAAGCATATTCTCAGAAAAACAAAATCAAAAAGTGTTGTCATATTGCCCGCCTCAGTTTCGTTCTGACCGGTCTCATTAAGGTCCCATGGCCGTGAATAAGATTTGGATCCGATCCACATGAAAGTGGCTCATATCGGGCTGGATTCACAAAACTGTCTTAAGAAAGAAAATCTACTTAAATGTGTTTTTTCTTCACTTCATTCTTAAGAAAAAAGTTACGAGAAATTGTTATTCTTCCAATAACTTCTTAAGAGTCCTCTTGTTTTCGTTTCTTAACTGTTTTCTTAAGAATAATTCTAAGAACGATTGGTATTCTTGAAAATATTGCGTTCTTAAAGGTTGAGTTGACGAGGTGAGCATCTCAGTTTATCTCTGCGCTGCCTCTGCTGCTCATCCTCGTCCGTCACCCCACAGTTAGCATATTTTCCAAGGAGGCTTTTTTCCCTGTTGGCTGTTTCTTCCACCATCAGCTGTAGATCTTGGTTGACTACATTTTTTTCAACACTTGGTTTGATGTTTCCCCCCCATTTTGCTCCTCTGAGTGGACTAAGCTAAATAACGGAAATAACAGTTAATACAAAAATGAACTTTGCATCGTTTATGGTAGATGGTAAAATGCAACATAGCTGACGTAAGAAAAAAGATTTTCTAAAGAAAATAAGATTATCTTGAGAGAATATTTGAGAACTTTTGTGTTTTTTTGTTTGTTTTTTTTTGAGAATTGCATTTAAAAACATTCTTATGAACTTCTTAGTGTTTGTCTTAAGAACCTTCGCAAGTTTTTTCTGAATTTCGGCCCCTGATCTGTCGCATTAAGGCAGAAAAATGGATTTGGGCCTTTTCAGGCTGGTAATGTGAACGTGGTGTCATGACAGTCTAATATCAGGCATAAAGGGTTACCATTCATAAGGCTACACGACACCTACATAAACTTACCATGACAACTGACATAACCCTACATAATTGTTTATAGATGCTTATTCCTACCAGCATCGTTCGCTATAAAAGTTACATTTCCCAGTTGTGATCACAGCTAGCTAAAGTAGCCTTTATGACAGGTGATGCCTGTTGGAATAAGCTTTTATAAACATTTATGTAGGGTTATGTCAGTTGTCATGCCGAGCTTATCACTGCTATTGGAACAAAACCTCTCCAAATCTCCAAAAAGGTAACTTTACAGGATGAGGAAAAACGTCTTAACCTTTAATGGAAGTCAATGGAGAAGTGCTCTTTTTTGTAATTTTGGACCATTTCTGTTGGTCCGTTCATCTTGAAATTTTGAAAAAAAGGGCTACCTTTTTCAAATGATGTCAAAAAATGGGAAACGGAAGATAAAAGGTTTTGTCCCAACAGCAACGTTATGTAGGTGTCATGTAGCCTTATGAACACACCCTACAGTAAAGTGTTACTGAACATAAATATCACCTGACACTGATGTTATGTCAACTTGACATCAAAGCTGGCTCCTATTGGAACAAGTGTTTATGAAGGTTTATGTAGGTTTATGTATAAGCATTATGTAGCCTTATGAACACTGCCCTACAGTGAAGTGTTACCAGATGTTGTAGTTGTCATTGTATTCTAATTGTTTACAGTAATTACAGTGCAATGTCTGGACTGCTATTTTCTGCCACTAATGTCTTGTAGCTGCGGTCAGTAGCGTGCGAGCCTATGACTAGACGACAGGAGGCGACGCGGTTAAAAGCTTTTTGCAATGACACTTTATTTTAACGTATTTTAAACTATGTAAATTCGCTAATCTTTCATTTCCGAATGGTAATAACCCTCGTGATCATGTTTTTTGCTGCCGTACAGACTCGGGACGCTGTGCGCCGATTCCCTCATCAGTTCAATAGAGTCCTGCAGGACTTCGGTATCACTGTCTCGCTAAGGAGAGTTAGACACTGTAAGTGGCGAATGTAGGAATGCTTTGTAAATCAGGGCAGAGATACACGGTCCAGAGATACGATGCGGAGGCGGTGCTTTAAGTGCACATCTCCGTAGGCTGTTTCTGTTTGTTTAAAAGTCTTTTATTTATTTCATTTGTCTGCAGTTCTTCATGGGATGGCACAGTTGCTGCTTACACATTGTTTTTGCCTAAAAAAAGGAGCTGTTTGAACTGTTTAATGTGTAAATACTCACTACACTGATCTCATGAGGACTAAACTGTGTTATTTAAGTACATCAAGCTCAAACTGTAAACATGTACACTCAACCAAGGTATGTTTCTTTTCCTGCAACACTAAACGATCCATTTCGGTCCTTCTCACAGCTGTGGAATGATAACAGTGCTACTCTGTGTTAAACGTTTTTGTATCTCGACTTTCCCTGCCTCTGGAAAAGACTTTTTGTATAATGTCGTCCTCCGAATCTTCCATTCCTTTGAACAATAAAATTAGCATTTACTGCTGAAATCTGGAGTTGGCCCTTGAGATTCTTTGAGCACTGCTCTATTTGTTGAAAGTGTTGGTTTACTGGACTAAAGTAGCCTCGTATTTCAGTGAAGAATACGCTTAGGCTGAAACTCAGTGTTGCTTATGGTCAAATTTGTCATTTTTACCCCCTCAGTTTCATCTTTGGAGTATCTGTACAATCAAACTCATAACATTATGGCATAACGTTCTTGTTTCTACGCTCATTGTCCAGTTTATCAGCTCCACTTACTATATAGGTGCACTTTGTAGTTCTACAGTTACAGACTGTAGTCCATCTGTTTCTCTGATACTTTGTTAGCCCCCTTTTACCCTGTTCTTCAGTGGTCAGGACCCCCATGGACCCTCACAGAGCAGGTACTATTTGGGTGGTGGATCATTCTCAGCACTGCAGTAACACTGATGTGGTGGTGTTGTGTTAGTGTGTGTTGTGCTGGTCTGAGTGGATCAGACACAGCAGTGCTGCTGGAGTTTTTAAACACTGTGTCCACTCACTGTCCACTCTATTAGACACTCCTACCTTGTTGGTCCACCTTGTAGATGTAAAGTCAGAGATGATAGCTCATCTGCTGCTGCACAGTTTGTGTCGGTCATCCTCTAGTCCTTCATCAGTGGTCACAGGACGCTGCCCACAGACGCTGTTGGCTGGATATTTTTGGTTGGTGGACTATTCTCAGTCCAGCTGTGACACTGAGGTGTTTAAAAACTCCAGCAGCACTGCTGCGTCTGATCCACTCAGACCAGCGCAACACACACTAACACACCACCACCACGTCAGTGTTACTGCAGTGCTGAGAATGATCCACCACCCAAATAGTACCTGCTCTGTGAGGGTCCGTGGGGGTCCTGACCACTGAAGAACAGGGTAAAAGTATCAGAGAAACAGATGGACTACAGTCTGTAACTGTAGAACTACAAAGTGCACCTATATAGTAAGTGGAGCTGATAAACTGGACAATAAGCGTAGAAACGAGGAGGTGGTCATTTCTGTTTTTTTTTGACAGTCTCATGGGGGAGTCTTGTGATTTGCTTCCAGGAACAGAGACAAGAGGAACAGTCCTGTCCTCTGTAGCTGCGCTGCTCGGCCACTAGCGGTCGCTGTTGCGGCTCTTCGGGCGGGCGGTGGAGGGATGTCGCCCAGCACTTAAAACACGGCGACGTGGAAAGTTTGATCTGAGCGCTTCAAGTTCTCAGCCGCAGCTTTTAGTCCAGATTTTCAACCCATTCGACTAATCTTTAAACTTGGAGATGGTTCTGTAGCTCGACTGAGCCCGTATATTCAGCCTACAGAGTGTGACACCCAGAACCTGCAGAACCGAGCTACAGTAACCACGTACAGTGAAAGTAATGGACGGAGCGGTGGCGGTTATTTTAATTTCTCTCTCGATGTTCGTGGGATGTTTTCTGCTCGGACTCATTCCGGTGCTCTTCAACTTCTCCCAGGTAAGAAACTCGATTATAATCACATTATGGTCCAAAAACTCCTCTTTAACCTCTCACTGCGGGCCGGCTTTGATGACCACTGGTTAACTTGGAGAAATCTAACGGTTCCGGCCGCAGTAAATTCCTTACAGCCAGCAAAATCTGCGTTTAGTTTATGGAAGAAAAAGATAATTTAGTTATAAGAAACTGAAACCCAACTACAGCCTCTAACGCTGCCTGCTGACTAGTTTGGGCAGTTTGTGCAGAGCAAAGGTCTGGCTTAGTCACGTAGCGTCTGTTTGTTTGGTTCCCTCACCCGCCAGTAGGGCTAGGAGTCGACTCCAGAAAGAATCGATTCCCGGCATTCGGGAAGCGGGAGTCGACTCTTCAGCTTCAGACTCGATTCCGCACAGTACGACTTTCCACGCCACGGACGGACAGTCCGGCTGTATTTTACTGTCGATAAAGTGGAAAACAACATAGTAGTGTAAGATTCATAACAAAAATCGCTTAAAATCAAACATAATTCTCAGCGTCAAAAATATACACACCTGAATGCGTGTTCAGAGGAGATCAGATGCAGTTTAGCCCGCTTTAGTTAGCCAAGTTAGTAACTTAGTTTAGTTCATTTAGATTTCCGTGCTAAGGTCAATTATAACCGATATCGGTGACATTATCTATGCCTTTGCTCTGGAACCGAGATTAAATTGTGGAATCGGTTCCTGGAATCGACTCCCGTCACTAGGGATTCGGAATCGAATTTCTGGACTCGGAACAGCACAGTCTTCCAAAACTGTGCTCACTTAAAATATGGTTCTTCAAGGTAAAGACAGTGGTTCTATATACAACCATGAACACTCGAAGAACCATTTGCATGCTTAAATGGTTCTTTGCATTGATAAATTGTTTTTTGAGATGGAGAGTGTGTTGTATGTGGTTCTGTGTAGAACCTTTTTGAAAATGGTAGCACCAAAAAGGGTGTCTGCTATTGTTACTGTGTCAGTTATGTATACAATAGAAGAGCGCTTTTTGGCACTATATAGAGATATTTTTAAAAATAACCATATACAATATATTTTCCATCAATCTTAAGAACCATTTCAGCAGGCAAATGTTTCTTTGAGTGTTCATGATTCTATATAGAACCATTGCCTTTACTAAAGAACCCGTGAAAAAACATTTTTTAAGGTTGTAGCACAGAAGACATGTGGTGATGTTTTAAAAAGTGAATTACGAATTAGAAGATAAAATAGAGCAATATTTTATATTTATATATATATATATATATATATATATATATATATAATATATATATATATAATATATAATCTCGCTGCTGTCGAAAGAAAACCTTGTAAAAAAATAAAATAAAGTAAAAGTAAAGCTTTTTCCTTCTGCTGTAAAGTTATCATTTTGGAGATACGAGGTTTTCTTCCAACAAAAGTGGTGGTGATAGGAACCAGGGGTCGCCATGACTACAACACAAATATAGACATTTTATTTACTATCCAGAACCACCAGTGAACCTACACGAGTCTTCTGAGTTTATATGGAATGTTGATGATGGAAAATAGTGGAAAATCTGAAATAATAAGTTTTCTTTGGGGACTATTTTGCCTCACAGCGCCCTGCATGTATCCCTCCACCATGAATGGAGTTTAAGTTCTCAAAACTATCCTAAAACAGTGTCTCAGTCATCAGGCAGTGAATTCATAACCATTTCATGTAGGAACTTTCAGTGAGGGAGCTTTTAGAGGTGGACGTCTGGTTCCTATCACCACCACTGTGAACAGTTCTGACTCTGTAAGTTTCATCTAGAACAGAGCGTTTCACACCAAACCACTCTGAACCTCTAAACTGTTTAATCGTGCAGAAAAATATGGTGCAGTTCTTTAAATGCTAAAATGTTTTTAAAATTCTGCTCCACAGCAGAAGCTGCAGTTTGTGAGCGTGCTGGGGGCGGGGCTTCTGTGTGGCACCGCCCTCGCCATCATCATCCCAGAGGGAGTGGAGTTGGTGGAGGAGTCATGGAGAGGTAAGAAAGACTGCTGGCATCTCTATTCAGCTCCCAACTACTTCCCGTCTGTCCTTCCTGTATTACAGTGTTTCAGAGGAGATGGCTTTTCTGGCAGAGCCACCACAGTAGTGCGGTGAGAGATTCGCTGGACTTGGACGCCGTTCTGTTATTCGGCCTTTGTGCTTCCTCAGTTTTCCGTATTAACGTTACATCCTGTGGGAGGCTTCATCAGCCGCTCTCATATAGCCGAACTCTACAGCCTTTCAGCTTAATGCAGTTAACGCTGTTCACTGGTCCAAATGACAGAAGTCTGTTCACAGCTGTAAATGCTGCATCATACAGAGTCAGAATCACCTTATTTCACCAAGTAAGTTATACATACAAGGAATCAGTGAGTCACATACGACATGTAACACACTGAACAGACCAGACAAACACAGACTGTTAACAAGTGTTTATCTAAAGGAAAAATACAATAAAATACTATAAATAGAGTCAATAATAAAGAGCCATGTGAAAGGAGATAAAGAAATATGTGAAAATATCTGAGAAGGTCTGGCTGCAGACATGCACTCTCAGCCTGACATGCACTGCCAGCCTACTGATGACGTCAGTGCTGCTCTGCCACCACAGTGTTTTGTTGGTTTTATTGTTGGAGGAAAAACAGTGAAATGCGAACTGCTGAGCAACAAGAGTTACACTGAACACATATTAATGTTGTCATATTGATAATAAAGTTAATTAAATCTGGAAACTTTCACAGTAAAACCATGACGGTAAGACATGAATGTCGACTTTACTCGCAGAAAAAAAACAAACAGGCTACCAAAACTCATGAAAGCCATGCTGAAGACGATTAGAACCATTTAGGAATGAAACCTGATGGTTTTGCTTCCTAACGGGAATTGGCTTGATGGTTGCCGTGAGAGACCTTTACGACAAATGTATGTGGAATCAGTCAAAATACCTGATTAAATGATCTGAATCCTTTACACTGTGATATCAACCCATCAGGAAAACAGAAAACCAATAATGACTACTGGACACCACCAGGAACCAACAGACACTGTTAATGGGTTCTATGACTTTTTTCAACAAGGAGGCGTATTAAATGTAACTCTCTAGCTGCATTATGGACCAAAAATTGATGAAGTGATGATGTCGCTAAGCAGCAGCAGCCAAAAGTTCCTGTGCCGTTGGGCGGCTTCTGCCACCGTGGCAGAGAGTGCATGTGCACGTGACGTCACTGGGGCTGAGAGTGCATCTGTCTGAGAGTGCAGGTCTGCAGCCAGACTCTGTTGGAATATCTGTACATGTCAGGGCTGAACGATTTGGGGAAAATATCTAATTGCGATTTAAATTTCGATTATTTTCTATAAATTGAGGTTCAGACCTGTTTTTTTAACCAGAATATCCACTTTTTCTGGCTTGAGGTTGGATCCATTAATGTAGTGCTTCAGAAAGCCAGTAAGTTGTGGTTGTGATGTCACAACAGATGGAGGTTTGGTTGCCTCTGATTGGTCCAATTCTGCAGGCAGTATATAACTCTGTGTTATTAGGTTAAATTTACTCTCTTGAAAACTTTAAATGTTTTTGATATTGTGGGCCATAAAAAAAATGTAAAAAAAAATTACAGCTTATGCGATTTGGAAATCGCATTTTCTTAAATTGCAATTTCAATAAAAAAATGATTAATCTTTCAGCCCTAGTATATGTACGTTTGCCGTATATTCCATGTAGAGCAGGGGTCTCCAATGTCCGGCCCCGGGGCCAAAAGCAACCCATGGACCAATTTTAATTGGCTTCTGTTTTAGAGTGCGTTATAAATGTCCCTCCAGCCAGTATGCTGCAGTTCTTCCCTTCACCTGATGGTGGCAGCAGTGCTGTGAAAGTGTAGTGTAATGCGTCGCCAGAGAACGTGTAGGGAGGAGAATTGCCCACTCTGTAACGTCTTCCCAGTTTCTCAAACACTAGAGGGCGCTACCGAGCGAGTCCAAAATGAATGGAGCATTTGAGTGAAATTATAGTTTATAAATACTAAAACATTTTTAATAACTAAAGACTAATACATTCCTGTCTGGAGCAGCATAAAACATTTTAACACTGCTGTTATACTTTTAAGAGCTTTTAAACTCGAGTTATAGGAGATTAAAATGGCACCTCATGTACGTTCATGACGTCTGTGAGCGCTCCGCTCACCAACCAATCAGCACTCAGTAGCAGTAATGCCAACCAATCAGCACTCAGTAGCAGTAATGCCAACCAATCAGCTCTCAGTAGCAGTAATGCTAACCAATCAGCACTCAGTAGCAGTAATGCCAACCAATCAGCACTCAGTAGCAGTAATGCTAACCAATCAGCACTCAGTAGCAGTAATGCCAACCAATCAGCTCTCAGTAGCAGTAATGCTAACCAATCAGCTCTCAGTAGCAGTAATGCTAACCAATCAGCACTCAGTAGCAGTAATGTTAGCGTCCTGCTGCCCAAAACCCGTTTGCTGTATAAAAAGGAAACATACAGGTGAGTTTTCTTTGCTGTTTTACTGAAATCCATCCTTCTACTGTCTAAAACTAAAGGAAAGTTCTGGTTCAGTGATTAGAAACTATTTTAACTCTTCGTTTTTAGCCGTTGAGCTCCATTCACTCCCATTCATTGAGGACTTGCTCGCGGTGCCCTCTGCTGTTCAGCAGTCCTGTTTTTGATATAACGGGGGAAATAGGAAGCGGCCAGACTCCTCATAAACCGGCTCTGGGTAACTGCAGTAATGAAGTTAGCTAGAGCTCAGGAGCCTTTCTCCTCCGACTGACCTGCAGCTTCATTTACTGACTTTCTTCCTTCCTTTTTTTTCTTTTTCTTTTGTTCTTTCTTTCCTTTTCTTTCTTTCTTTCTTTCTCTTTTTTCTTTTTGTTTTTTTTCTTTCTTCTTTCTTTTGTTCTTTCTTTCTTTCTTATTTTCTTTCTGTCTTTTTTCTGTTTGTTCTTTCTTTTTTCTGTTTCTTTGTTTGTTTGTTTCTTTCTTTCTTTCTTTCTTCAGTCCAGACCGCAGCCATAAAGCTCAAACTAACACTGAGAACCAGAGATTTTGATGGAAATTTGAATAGTTTTTCATCGAGAGCCGCAAAAAAAGAGCCTCATATTTGAAATACTGTAATAAATTTAATGTCAACAGACGCGACACAAACATTTCCATTAACATGACAGTAAATATTCAGGAGAGGAACTGAAGCAGCTGCAGCTCCTCGAGTCTCACGGCACCGACTTCTTATCAGAGCAGATTCAGCAGTTTAGTGAATATTAACCCTTTAAATTCAAACGGATATTTATGGCGTTTAATCTGCTCTTCTTGTTCAGTAAAGTGATTTCTGAATGTGGTCGCTGCATTTATTTGATATGTAGAACATTATCTAACAAAACCAAACGATTTGTAGATTTTTGTTTAGTTTGTTTCACAAATTATATGTTTAAAGAAGTAAACACTTCAATGGGAATATTAATAATTAATACATCAGACGTGTTTTATTTGTTACTCTTAAACAGTTTATTATAAGCGCTTACTGATCCAGATTGTTCTTAGCAGCCCAGCATCGTTTATACAGCGATAGGAAACAGGCAGCTCACAGAAAGCTCTGATTCTGTTTGCTGATATTTTGAAAACTTAATATTTTGAAGCATTTGTGAATTTATATTTCAGCCCTCAGGTATTTTGACACGGCCCTCTTCAAAGACGGTTTGGGCACCCCTGACGTAGAGGATGTGTTAACCTGTTTCCAATGAGGAAGGAGGGGAGGGGGGTGGGGGGGGGGTTGCATGTGTTTGTGCCTGAAGCTAATTCCTCCTGCTTCTTCTTCTTCTGCCTCCCACAGATTCGCTCTGCTCTGCTGTCACAGCCAGGCTGAACAGCACAGACTCCAACTCGACCCTGGAGCCGTCTGCGGCGAAAGGCCTGCGTCCACACGTCTTCATAGGAGCGTCCCTCGTGCTGGGCTTCACTCTGATGTTTGTGGTCGACCAGATTGCCAGCTACTGTTCTGCACAAGGTGAAGGGCAGCTGCGTTATCCAATCACAGTTAGGAGTCGGGTTCTCTCTCTCGGAGAACTGTGTTGGTTCTGTTTATTGTGATCAATACGTTATTAAACATAACAGATCAGAAGAGCCGCGTTCACAAAGCCCAACATAAACACAAGGACTCACTCAGAACACAGAGGTACAGTCACTGTTACCCACCAATAACAGTGATTTAATGATGATGGTGCTGATGGTCAGAGTTACAGTCGAATACGAGGAGAAGACAAACGTTAATAAAGGAAGATCTTTCTTTCATTCTTTTGTTCTTTCTTTCATTCTTTCTTTTGTTCTTTCTTTCCTTCTTTCTTTCTTTTTTTCATTCTTTCTTTTGTTCTTTCTTTCCTTCTTTCTTTCTTTCTTTCCTTCTTTCTTTTGTTCTTTCTTTCCTTCTTTCTTTCAATTGTTCTTTTTTCTTTCATTCTTTCTTTTGTTCTTTCTTTCTTTTGTTCTTTCTTTGCTTTTCTTTTTGTTCCTTCTTTCCTTCTTTCTTTCACTTGTTCTTTTTTCTTACTTTCATTCTTTCTTTTGTTCTTTCTTTCAGTCGTTCTGTTTTCTTTCTTTCTTTCTTTCTTTCCTTCGTTTGTTCTTTTGTTCGTTACTGCTTTCATTTGTCTTTCTTTTATTCTTTCTTTCTTTCTCAGTATTTCAAGAGGATATAATTGTTCTTATTTTAGTCTTATTTATCGGTTTAGCCGCTGTACCTTCCAGAAGACTAATGTCCCGAAAATAACAGGTCATACAGTCAGGAAAACCCTGGACACGTCTGGGAATGAAGAAATTTGGTTTTCCAGGCCCGGAAACGTCATGGAAAATAATAATTGCTGGAAAAATCATGGAATTTCTGAGACTTTTCCACCAATGTTCATTCTTTCTTTCTGTCTTTCATTTGTTCGTTTGTTCATTTTTTGTTTCGTTCGTTCTTTCATTCTTTTGTTCGTTCTTTCTTTTGTTTTATTCTTGGCCTGAAAATTTCATTTTATGTCATGGAGAAGTCACGGAATTACACTTTTTAGAAAGTTTACAAACTCTGAAATAAGAAAGCCAAACAGGATGCGCAGGAACAGAGGGTCAAACTGTACTTTCAAAATTGTCTTTTTAGCTGCTGAGAGGCTTTTTTGATGAGTAGAAAACAATTCTGCAGAGTCATCAAGTAAAAGGAAAGACTGTAGATCTTTGTGTACAGATTTTCCCAAAATATTAGAACATCTTGAACACAGGACCAGAACACATCCACAATAGGACACACCCAAGACATATGTCGACAACAAAACCTCATATCTCCAAAATGGTAACTTTACAGGAGAAGGAAAAAACATACTGTACTTTTAATGGAAGTCAGTGGACTTTTTTCTATGTCATTGTGGGTCATTTCTTTTGATCCATTCTTCAGGAAATGTACATGCATTGTGTATATATATATATATATATATATATATATATATATATATGCATATTCCATATACATAAGTGACAATACAGCTTTATCTGAATTTATAGAACTGTGTTTATTCTTGCTTTCTGTTTTGCTACACAGTAATGCAGCTGCGCTTTATTACAGTGACTCAGAGTCAGTCGACCTTCAGGTCAAGTTAATGTTTTCTCTGCTGTAGTGCATCATCAGCTGACTGTCAGCCCTCCTCAGGCTCCTCTAGGACTTATCCATGTAATTTATAATTGCAGTCGCTCATTGACAGAAATTCCTTACAGTCTAATAAAGAAAGTCCACACTGTTGGACTATTGCAGTCGCCTCCTGTTTGGACTTCTAGATAAATCAGGTGTGTCAAACTGGGGACCTTCCGGGCCAAAGTGCTGCAGAGATCAGCGTTTATCCTCATCTAACACTCTGAGTTCAGTTCATTAAGGCCTTGTTAATTAGCTGATGAGCTGAATCAGGTGTGTTTGATGATGCAGTGAGCTGACGTCTGCAGTGTTTTGGAGCCTGACACACGTGAGAGAACTTAATAGCCTACAGTACGTACAAAATGCAATCAGTGAGATGTAATCAGAGAGATTCAGAGTGGTTTGGTGTGAAATGGTTCAGATGTCTTTACAGTGGTGGTGATAGGAACCAGGGGTCGCCATGACTACAACACAAATATAGACATTTTATTTACTATCCAAAACCACCAGTGAACCTACACGAGTCTTCTGAGTTTATATGGAATGTTGATGATGGAAAATAGTGGAAAATCTGAAATAATATGTTTTTTTGGGGGACTACTTTGCCTCACAGCGCCCTGCATGTATCCCTCCACCATGAATACACTTTTAAAAATATGTTTTATATTACCATTTCACCATTTCATGTAGTAACTTTCAGTGAGGGAGCTTTTAGAGGTGGACGTCTGGTTCCTATCACCACCACTGTGAACAGTTCTGAATAGAGTGTTTTACACCAAACCACTCTGAATGACTCTGTTTACAACCAGAAATTTTGAAAAATCAGTGGCATTCCCCTGCAAATGTCACCCTCAGAATCATCTATTTCATAATTATTTCTGTGTATCAAAATATGATAGACAGCGTAACTGCTGGGCTTCATTCTGTTTCTGTGTTTCTCCTCGTTTAGTCTCGCGACCGAGCCTATACAACGGCAGCGGCATCACAGCCACGCTGGGTCTCATCATCCATGCTGCAGGTACGGTTTACAGCTTATGCATTCCCTCTGTTACACTTCACAGCACACAGCGCGCTTCCTGCGGCGATTAGACACAATAAAGATTGCGCTGCAGGTCTCTGAGTCCAGCCTGGACACGGACAGTGGGTTTGCTTTTCAGTGCCGTCTGCCGTGCTGCGTCTGTTCAAGAACTCTTCGGTCTGTATTCCAACAAAGAGAGCAGACAGATGGAGATAAGCGCTGTCTGAAAATCTCCCACCAGCCACGACTCGCTCTGTCTGCAGCCTGTACTCTATTCTGCTCCTCTTTTATCACCAGCAGGTATTAAATTCCCGCTTTTTTGTGCTTTCTGGGTCAAAAGGAAGTATTACTGGGAATAATATTCATCATCATAAAAAACACACCCTTATTCAAAGTTACAGAGAAAAGAGCCACAATACCCACAACTCTCGCTTCTGTCCTGTTAAAGGATCATTTGATCAGATTTAAAATGAAGATACTGGAACACAAATTCATTTCTAAAGGTATCAGACAGTGAAGAGCATCAGACAGGATTCTGGATATTTTCATAAAATTTTTTAATTAGATTTGATAAATACATTTATTTTTGTACACTACATTTCACCATACATTTTAAAATAAATGTATTTTAAACTATATTTGGTTAATATGGATAATATTCTGAAATATATTTCAAATATATAAAAATATATGTCCATATATTTTTTCCTTATGGGCTGCGACGACCAAACAAGCCATGATTTCAGCAGAACCGGTGAATCAGCTTCAGAAAAGCTCGAGAGTGTCTTATTTACATATCATTTGCAATCGGCACCCACCAGTCTGCCCTCATTTACATTTAATTTAAATGAAACATTACGAATGCATGCGGATGTTTTTACTTTAAGCGTAGATTTTAAAGTTCTGCTGCTTTTTAAGGCCCTAAATGATCTTAAAGCTCCTGACCGTCGGTCTGTTTATGATCTCAGATCTGCAGAATCGGACCTTCTGAACTCCTTCAGTAAAACACAGAAAACGTGGAGAGACTCTTTCAGTTATTCCACTTCTAAACTGTGGAGCTCAGTTCAGCTTTTATTAGACAGTCGAGCTCAGAGCTCACTTTTAATAAACATCTGAAAACGCAGCTCTTTAACTCAGAGCTTCAGTAAAACTCTGGTCTGTATCTCTTTAATCTGATCTTTCGTTGTCTTATGATTTTAATTTAATACTTACAGTTTCTTCTGTTACTGTTAATCTTTATCTGCTGTCTGTAAACCACTTTGAGCTGCCACCAGCATGAAAAGAGCTCTATAAATAAAGATTATTAATATTAACAGTGAGCCAATGAAACAAAAGTGTTCAGCAGGGTCATGACCCAGTGGTTGTGCTTATAGGTGCCCCCCCTACTGGCCAGATGCTAAATAGCTTTACAGTGTAAGAATTACAACAATTTAAAAGAATGAAATGTGATTCTGTGGTGTGATTTTTTTCATAAAACACTGACCACTTGAGTAATAATATACTGTACACCAATCAGGCATAACATTATGACATTATAGGTGCACTTTGTAGTTCTACAGTTACAGACTGTAGTCCATCTGTTTCTCTGATACTTTGTTAGCCCCCTTTTACCCTGTTCTTCAGTGGTCAGGACCCCCATGGACCCTCACAGAGCAGGTACTATTTTTGTGGCGGGTCATTCTCAGCATTTCAGTGACACTGATGTGGTGGTGGTGTGTTAGTGTGTGTTGTGCTGGTCTGAGTGGATCAGACACAGCAGTGCTGCTGGAGTTTTTAAACACTGTGTCCACTCACTGTCCACTCTATTAGACACTCCTACCTCAGACTGCCAGTTAGGTGGATGGTTGTGATGTCACACATACAGAACATGGGCATTTTGTTGCTTCTGATTGGTCTAAGTCACCTACAGGCAGCTTACAAGTTCTGTGTTATTAGTTTAATTTTAATCAATTTAAAACTTGTTAATAATATATTATATAACATTGTTAATAATGTATTATATAATAAAAATTGCAACTCAAGTGATTTGAAAATTGCACTCTTTCAAATTGTGTTTTCCATATAAAACTAATTAATCTTTAAGCTCTTATATAAAGCAAGAATCTTTACATGGAATATATAGTTGCAGCATTTGTTTATATCAGTGTGCACATAAACAATAGTACATCCACTTCAGTACAAGGACTGCTGTGCTCACAGTCATTAGTATTATCATTGTTATTTTCTATTTTTTATTGTTATTGCTGATATTATTGATGTTATTGACGATAGTTTTGATTTGACATTTGGTGTGAAACGCTCTGTTCTAGATAAACTTACCAAATCAGAGTTGTTCACAGTGGTGGTGATAGGAACCAGACGTCCACCTCTAAAAGCTCCCTCACAGAAAGTTACTACATGAAATGGTTATGAATTCACTGCCTGATGACTGAGACACTGTTTTATGATCGTTTTGAGAAGCTTTTGGGCTTAAAATGTGATTTTACCATCATCATCATTCCATATAAACTCAGAAGACTTGTGTAGGTTCACTGGTGGTTCTGGATAGTAAATAAAATGTCTATATTTGTGTTGTAGTCATGGCGACCCCTGGTTCCCATCACCACCACTGTAAAGACTTCTGAACCATTTCACACCAAACCACTCTGAATCTCTCTGTTTACATCCCAAACACTCAATTATGCAGAGATTTTGAAAAATCGGTGGAGTTCCCCTTTAACTCTCCTGTTACCTTCGGGGTGGATTTGACCCCATTCAGTGTTTAACATCCCTGAATAATTGATTGACATGTTTTTTGCTTCATATTTAACAACTTTCCTAATGATACGGCGGAGGGGAGATCATAATTCCCACCAGAATTTTAATATTTGATAAATATTGAGGTTTATATTGCTGGGGTCAAATTAATCTCAAGGATAGAAGATGTCCGTAAATTTGAGGATAACAGGAGGGGTAAGATTCTTTTGAAGGAACAGTTTCATAACAATTTGTAAAAAATAATTTATGAAATGTTTTCTTTGTGTCTGGTTAATACTGGTTTACAGTATTGTCTGTGTAAAGTTCTCTCTGGTGTAATTTTATGAGAAGAAAACAACAAAACTACTTAATTTGCATTTTGCATGTTGAAATCTGGACTCCTACACCAACCCGACTGTAATTAGGGTTGCAAGTGACAAACAGTATTCCTTTTACAGCGTTACAGACAGTACAGTTCACTTTAGACGTCTCTTGTGGAGGTTCAGTGGGAGTGAAAGCCTGTTTTCAGTGAACTGAGTCATGTCTCTCATTCCTGTGTGTCTGCTGTGTATCTGTCTCCCTGTAGCTGACGGCGTCGCTCTTGGTGCAGCTGTGGCTTCTTCTCAAGTGTCAGTTCAGGTTATTGTGTTCTTCGCTGTGATTTTGCACAAGGTAAGACATCCCACTGGCTGGGAAAGCACCGCTCTTCTAACAGAACCTTGTGCTTCCTAAATACAACCCCAAAAAAGTTGGGACGCTGTGCAAAATGTTAATAAAAACAAAATGCAATGATGTGCAAATCATTTAAACCCTGTATTAATTAAATGTTTTCCCGTTCTTGTTTGATACAGGATTTGAGCTGCTTATCAGTTCAGGGTCTTCTTTGTCATATTTTTCATTTTATAATGCACCAAATGTTTTCAGTGGTGACAGATCTGGACTGCAGGCAGGTCAGTTTAGCACCTGGACTCTTTTAATACGGAGCAATGCTGCTGTAATACATGCAGAATGTGGTTTGACATCGTCTTGCTGAAATAATCAAGGCCTTCCCTGAAAAAGACGTCGTCTGGATGGCAGCATATGTTGCCAAAACCTGTATATATTGTTCATCCTTAATGGTGCCTTCACAGATGAGCACGTCACCCACGCATGTCCCCCTATACCATCATGAATTCTGGCTTTTGAACTGTGCACTGATAACAAGCTGAGTGGTCTTCAGCCCGGAGGACACAGTGTCCATGATTTCCAAAAAGAATTTCAAATGTTGATTCATCAGATCACAGGACACTTTTCCACTTCAGCTCAGTCCATTTTAAATGAGCTCAGGCCCAGAGAAGGTGGCAGCGTTTCTGGATCCTGTTTATATTTGGTTTCTTCTTTGCGTTTTAGAGTTTTAACTTGCATTTGTGGATGCAGTGATGAACTGTTTTCACAGACAGTGTTTTTCAGAAGTGTTTCTGAGCCCATGCAGTGATTTCCACTACAGAATCATGTCTGTTTTTAATGCAGTGCTGCCTGAGGGCCCAAAGATCACGGCCAGCATATACTGTTTTTTGGGTTTGAATGATTTGCACATCATAGCATTTTGTTTTTATTTACATTTTGCACAGCGTCCCAACTTTTTGTAAATGGGGTTGTAGTATGTAGGCAGCTGGTCTTTTCAAAGACTAAAAAAATGGATAAACAAAAATGGAGTTGCTGGGTGTTTCTTATGACGGGGCCAGAAAAGTTTTCTGGCACAGAAATCTGCTTTGTATGAAAGTCTGATCTCTCTCTCTCCGTGTCGTCAGGCTCCGGCTGCGTTCGGTCTCGTCTCCTTCCTCTTGCACGCCGGCTTGGAGAAGAGCACAATTCAGAAGCATTTACTGGCTTTCTCGGCTGCAGCTCCACTGCTGGCTGTTAGCACCTACTTCATCCTGATCATGGTAAGGAGACCCAGACAGCACTGCAAACGTTTCTCAGCTGCATCCGCCACTAACACAAACTGAGTAGCAGCACCGTTTTTGGGTCTATATTTGGTTCTTTAATCTGAAGAACATTTCACCGTGCAAAGAGCCCTTTAAGCATGCAAATGGTTCTATATTGAACTCATTGTTCTAAATAGAACCATACAATGTTTGTCCTCCTGCAGACCGGTGGGTCACCACAGCACCGCCTCAGCGCTACAGGGATTGGCATGCTGGTCTCCGCTGGAACGTTCCTCTATGTGGCTACTGTGCATGTACTACCTGAGGTTAACAGCAGGGGGCAGCAGAGGACCACCCATTTCCACCACCATGCAGGCTCAGGGCCCTACCAGCAGGGGGCGTTGGGTGTTCTGGAAAGCATCACCCTGATCACCGGAGCTGCTCTGCCTGTCCTTCTGGCTCTCGGGCTGCCTGACGACTGACCGACCCTCACAGACTGTTACGCTGCCAAAGATGATTTCTGGAACAGAACTGTAAACACATTTTAAGCTTTATGGCTATTTATGATTCATCATTCGTTTTTGTTTACGATTAACGAGACTTCCCAGTCCTCAAACGGCACCACAGTCAGCAATGATTCTGTATTTTCATTTATCAAACTTTGTTTTTAAACAATTCATCCCCTTGGAATTATAAGGTTCTGTCTAAGGTTCTGAGCAGTTTTGAGATACTGAGCTTCAAAGATTCTGTATTCCGGATAGCAGAACTGATCTGTGAAGACGTCCCTTCATATCAAAATCCTGTCAAATCTGTAAATGAGTTTTGGAACAGCTGAAATGCAGGTAGAACTTTCTAACCCTAGAACTCACTTTCTAAGGTTCCATCTGACAGAACATGAAAAGAAGCAACGATTTTCAAGGAACGTAATTTTAATTATCATAAGTGTTGTAACAGAGCGTCTATCAGAAAGTTCAATTTAATGCTTTCTATGACATTTTTATGGCATTTCTTTTTATTATTTATTTATTTTTTATCACATTTGTTTCTTGTTTTAGTCTTTTAATCTTTTTCTTATTCAAAAAAGCGCTGCAGATTATCGCAGCGGTCAGAACAAAACCTCGTATCTCAATTTTTGTCATTTTTCATTTTCTGACCTGATTAAAAAATACCTGTCGTCCTTTATATTGTGTGTAAATTTTATGATAGGTGGACCAAAGGAAACAACGCAAAACGATGTAGAAAAATGTCTGGTTCCATTGACTTACATTCAAAGTGAATTATGTTTTTTCTTTCTGAAAAATGACGTAGAAAAATGTCTTATTTTGGGAGAAAGAAGAAAAAGAAAAGATGGATGAATGAAAATGTTTATGTTGTAATTAAAACCCCATCAATTCAAATGTTTACTATTTAATGACCTTTAAGCCTTAATATTTATAAAATTTAAGACAGTAAGAGTTTTTAATGAGCTGTAAGACGACAGGCAGAGTTTCAGCAACGTTTTCGTGTTTCATAAAGTTTTACAAACTTTTCCCGCAGTCACTGAGCAAAGCGGCAACATGACAAAGAAGCAGAACCTGATTGGTCCTCTTGTGTATATTCAAAGAGCTGATTGGCTCGCAGAGTCCAAAAATGCATAAAACTTAAAAAAAGACCTCACATAATGTGAAGAAGTCACACAATAAGAAAATGTGAAAAACTCAATTTTGACAAAAATGTCAGAACCTTCTAATTCCAAGGGGGTGATATATTATTACATATGTGTGAGCCATAATGTTCAAGTTTAAATGCAGATATTAAAGCCATATGCAGTATGCAATATTCCCTGCAGGACAGTAATAGCACATAGCTGTTTATCATTTCAGCACGGTGGCGCAGTGGGTAGCGCTGTCGCCTCACAGCAAGAATGGCCTGGGTTCGATTCCCGGCCGGGTGACCAGGGTCGTTTCTGTGTGGAGTTTGCCTGTTCTCCCCGTGTCTGTGTGGGTTTCCTCCGGGTACTCCGGTTTCCTCCCACAGTCCAAAGACATGCAGTCAGGCTAATTGGACATGCTAAATTGCCCCTAGGTGTGACTGTGTATGTCTGTCCGTCTGCCCTGCGATGGACTGGCGACCTGTCCAGGGTGTATCCTGCCTTCCGCCCAATGACAGCTGGGATAGGCTCCAGCACCCCACCGCGACCCAGAAGGATAAGCGGTTTAGATGATGTATATATGTATGTATGTATGTTTATCATTTCAGACCTCACAGATCAAATTCACTCACATATTTCAAACAAGTGAATAAAAAGTCATTCTGTGTGGCTCAGTCTACAATCACAATCCTGCATATATTAAAGGATTTCAGAAGTAAAGATGAGGAGGGTTCACCACTCTGTGAAAGACTGCCTGATCAAATAGAGCAAGAATTCAAAAATAATGTTTCTCAACGTAAAACAACAAAGAACTTTTGCTTTTCATCATCTACAATATCATTAACAGATTCAGAGGATCTGGAGAAATCTCTGTATGTAAGGGACGAGGCCAAAAACCAGTATATGCTGGCCGTGATCTTTGGGCCCTCAGACAGCACTGCATTAAAAACAGACATGATTCTGTAGTGGAAATCACTGCATGGGCTCAGAAACACTTCTGAAAAACACTGTCTGTGAAAACAGTTCATCACTGCATCCACAAATGCAAGTTAAACCTCTAAAACGCAAAGAAGAAACCAAATATAAACAGGATCCAGAAATGCTGCCACCTTCTCTGGGCCTGAGCTCATTTAAAGTGGACTGAGGTGAAGTGGAAAAGTGTCCTGTGGTCCAACGAATCAACATTTGAAATTCTTTTTGGAAATCATAGACACTGTGTCCTCCGGGCTAAAGACCACTCAGCTTATCAGTGCACAGTTCAAAAGCCAGTATTCATGATGGTATAGGGGGGCATTAGTGCACATGGAATGGGTGATATGCTCATCTGTGAAGGCACCATTAATGCTGAACTATATATACATGTTTTGGCAACATATGCTGCCATCCAGACGACGTCTTTTTCAGGGAAGGCCTTGATTATTTCAGCAAGACAATGTAAAACCACATTCTGCATGTATTACAGCAGCATTGCTCCATGTTAAAAGTCCAGGTGCTAAACTGACCTGTCTGCAGTCCAGACCTGTCACCACTGAAAACATTTGGTGGATTATGAAATGAAAAATATGACAAATGAGACCCTGAAATGATGAGCAGCTGAAATCCTGTATCAAACAAGAACATGAAAACATTTCACTTTCTAAACTACAGCAGTGTCTCCTCAGTTCCCAAACACTTACAGAGTGTTGATAAAGAAGAGGTGATGAATCACAGTGGTAAACAGGCCCCCGTCCCAACTTTTTTGGAACGTGTTGTTGGCATCAAATTCAAAATGGGCAAATATTTTAAAAAACAATAAAATTTCCCAGTTTCAACATTTGATATGTTGTCTTTGTAGTATTTTCCTACACATACGTACGAGTATAGGCCTAATAAACTTTTCTGTGTACTTGTCAGTGAACTGAAGTATACTTAAGCATGATTTTGTTCAGTATATCTCTGACAAGTACATAAAAAGTTAACTAAAACCATCCTCACTCATTTTTTAGTTGAAAAGAAGTAAACTAACAGCACACTTGAATAGACTTCTTGTTTGTAATTGTTATCATATACAAGATGATGATGATGATGATGATGATGATAATGTATAAACCTCCACACAGTGAGAGGAGACGAACTGGAACAGCAGACCGTTCTGTTTATATAGCACTTAAAGGAACGTCTTTATTTTTCAGTGAAATGAAAGGACAGTGAACAGCATTAATGGTCAACAGCTGTTGGTTGTTGTAATTAGAAACTATAATTTTCAAGTTTAAAAAAGTCAAAAAAATAGAACAGGTAGTATTTTTCTGTCCTGCAGCGCCGCCACAACCCTGATGAACGGGCTGTGACTGATCACACGGCTGCCGTACGTTTGGAACAGAAACTAAACTCTAGCAGAACTTCAGAGAATAAAGTTACTATGTATTCGGTATCTATTAAACACTTCTCAGGACTTGTTTTTAAAGGGAAATATAATCCCATAATAAACAATACAGTCTGATGTATAAATAAATAGGTGCTCTATAATAATTTATCCCTCTACAAATTTCTAAACAAACTGACATTAGTAGGAAACTATTGGGAGAAATATGCAGATTGTTTGAAGCCTTTTAAAACATTAGCTTACCCTGGGTTAGCAGCTGCATCATATGAAGGGTACATTCAACATTCATTACCCTGGCGTTCACCATAAACAGTCAGACGTTCACCATAAACAGTCAGTTTCGTCAAATAACACAGATTATTAAACAGTGCAGTTCGCTGTAATTGATAAACTCTACTGTTCCAGTTCCAGATGCTCCCAATATCATGAGGCAAGACAACATTAATACTGCAAAACGTGAATCAATCACTGGTGTTGATAATTATCCATCAACAAATAACCAAATAAAAAAGCTAATAAACATATTGATTTAAAAATAAATAAATAAATAACCAAATTGCCAATGAAACCTTTGCTTCATGCATCTTCATGGCTTTCTTTCCTTTAAAGGGCCCATATTCTTTTGTGAGGCGTTATATAGCAAAAACAGTCATAATACATTACTAGTATTTCCAGAATACCACAAATTTTATCAGATTAAAACATTTTAAGACCTCTGGATTATGCAAATTTCAGTTACAGCCCCATAGGGCTGAACAATATGATGGTATTTATCGTTATTGTGATAAATTCCATCACATTACATCACAGTATTCTTTTCTGAGTGCTGTGATTGTCGGTAGTTAAAGAGCTGGATGTTGGATTTATGCAGCGCAGTGTGTAAACGGTTAATAAAAAATATTTTACTTATTGTATTTGTTAGGTGTGGCACTGCTGGTTCTTTCTGTTCCAACTTATCAAACCCAAAAAACAACAACTAAATATCGTGATGCGTATAGTGCAGAGGTATCGTGATATTTTTGCCGTATCGTCCAGCCCTGTGACTCCGTGTTAAAAAGAATGTGACAATAAGCTGGAATTTCACATCACAATGTCCTTTGGTGTGTTTACAGGCAGGCAAAGCTACACCAGAGTCGTCATTTATTTAGTAAGACATTCCTAAAGGGGAATTTCACTGATTTTTCAAAAATTCTGGTTGAGATGTAAACAGAGAGATTCAGAGTGGTTTGGTGTGAAATGGTTCAGATGTCTTTACAGTGGTGGTGATAGGAACCAGGGGTCGCCATGACTACAACACAAATATAGACATTTTATTTACTATCCGGAACCACCAGTGAACCTGTGCTTTATATGGAATGTTGAAGGTGGGAAAATAGTGGAGAATCTGAAATTTCTTTTTTTTGGGGACTATTTTGCCTCAGAATGCCCTGCATGTATCCCTCCACCATGATCGGATTTTTAAAATATGTTTTAGACCAATATGTATTTTGTGGGATGGATGGATGACTTTTATCATTTCAAAGGTAAATTCACAAATTACAGCAGCAGCAAATGAAGTGTTTGAGAGTAAGAAAAGCTTCGGACGTCTGACTCCTTTCACGACTGTCGTGAACAGACTGATAGATTCTGATTCCAGAACGGAACTTTTCACATCAAAGCACTATGAATGTCTTTGTTTACATCTTAACCATTTCATTACGCTAGAATTTTGAAAAAATGGTGGAATTCCCCTTTAAGTGCTTATACATATACTGAAAGCCAACCATCTGAAACGTTCAGAGCTTCATTCGGCTCAGACGGGCGCTCAACTCAGCCTGCAGCGCCATCTGCTGGAACGTTCTGCTGCGGCTTTGCTCTCGCACCATCTCCCTCATGCAGCAGGAGGCGTGGGCCACTTTACGACTCCTCTCTAGCGCCTCCTCCCGCTCCCTCCGCAGCTGCTCCCTGCGCCGCTCCTTCAAGGCCACGGCCTCCTTCCGCTGCTCCTGCTGCACCTCCCCCTCCTTCAGAACGCGCTCCCAGAGCCTACAGTGACCCGCTTCTTTTTCCAGGTTCTCCAGCTTGACCTGCCGCGCACGCCTCCTGCATTGCTCCGCCACATGCCGCTGCGCCTCCTTCGCTCTCCTCAGGCTCAGCTGCGCCAGCACCTCCTTCTCCTGTTGACGCTCCTTCTGCTCCCGGCCAGCCCTCAGCTGCGCCCTCCTGGCCCGCGCCTCCTCCTGCTGGGCCCGCTCCCGCAACTCCTCTAGCCGCGCCTCCAGCAGCCGGGCGTGCTTCTCCACTGAGCGCTGCAGCCTCCGCTCAAGCGCGTCCCTCTTCGCCTCCCCCTCGGCCCGGGCCTTCTCCTCCACTTCTTGCTTCAGGAGGGAGTGGCGGAGCCGCTCTCGCTGATTCTCCTCCCTCAACCTCCTCTGCTCCCTCCTCTCCCTGCTGCTCCTGCTTCTCCTGGCCTGACGCTCCCTCAACTTCGCCTGCTCCAGCTCCTCCTCCCGCTCTGCCTGCTCCCTCCTCTGCACCTCCTCCAGCAGCCTATCGCGACGACACCTGCGCTCCTCTGCCTCCCGCCGAGCCGTCTCCAGCTGGCCCCGCCGTCTCTCCTCCTGCTCCTGCGCCCGCCTCCTCCAGCGCTCCTCCTGCTCCAGGGTCTCCCACTCCTGGCGCCGCGCCTTCTGCGCCTCCTCCATCTCCCGCCGCCTCCTCCGCGCCTCAAAGTCCTCGTGCCAGTGGCGGAGGCTGCGCAGCAGCTCTTTTCGCCTCCTGCGCTCTGCGAGGGCCCGCCGCGCCTCCTCCTTTCTCCGTGCCTCCTCGCGCCGCAGCTCCTCCAGCTGGCTCTGCTGTAAGCGGGCCTCCTCCTCCTCCTGCTTGACCAGCATGAGCGCGGCGATCTTGCAGTCTTTCTCTGGGACGGTGACGCTCAGCTTCCTGCAGATGTCCTGTTTGAGCCTGCCTAGCCGCCTCGCCGTGGCCGGAGAGTGCCGCAGGTCACCCAGGCTGTGACTGACAGGCAGGAGCTGAGTAGAAAACGGCTCAGACGGTGACTTCGGGAGGTCCTGAGCGAACTCAACTACGGATCGTCTCTTTCCTGTCCATGCCGGTTCCCTGTGGCACCTGGCTTTGGAGTCGCTGCTCTGGCTCTCGCTGGCCTGCTCCAGCACCGTTTCCAAAGCTGAGAAAGGCTTCATGGCCGACACCGGCTCCCTCTCCTCCTGCACAATCCTGTCTCGTTCCTCTCGACACAGCCGGAGACGTTCCCTCCGCTCTCGCTCATAAACCTCATACAGAGCTGTAAGCGCCTCCAAAGGCATGTCCTGGTGCTCCTCCATGAAGTCAGTGAGAGCCTTGAAGAGCAGGTCGATGGGTTTCACCCCCAGCCTCGCGCAAGACTCCAGTGATCTCGGACTGGTCAGCACATATCTGCTCAGCTCTGCTTCAGGAGAGTCAAAGTTGTTCAAGTCCAAGTGCATCATTGGCGAGGATGACCTGCTATTTTCCATTTTCAGCACGTACAGTTGCCAAAATACTGACAGAAAAACTCTATTCGATGCTACTGTCCAGGCTGCTAACACACTGACCGAGGCTGGGAGTCAATCTCAAAAAGAGTCGACTCCTAGAGTCCAGGCATCGAGAGTCGACTCCAAAGCATCGGACTCGATTCCAAACAGCGAGAGCGAGATATTCTGCGGTCACTGTTCTAGACGGCCTGTCTGACAAATACATCCTTCCACATCGACAGTCCAGCTGGAAAACAAAGTAAAATGTAAGATTTATAATGAATTTACAATCAAACAGCACTGATTAAACATCAACCCACCTGAAGGAGCTTTCAGAGCCTACATTCATCAATAACTCTCCAACTATCCTTAGCTAAGGTCAAACATAAATAAGACTGTCCTCTTTATTTTTCATTATCGGACGATTTTCAGCCCAAATATGCTGATCGCCGATCCCTCTAACTTAGCCGATTTAACCATTTAACCGTTTAATGTGTAACAGGAAAATTCGAAGAAGTGAAATAAAGGTTGACTTCAGCTTCACTGAGAGTTGAAGGGCATGATAAGGGATGAGGAGGCTGCTCTTGATGTTTGTGATGGCTAATCCCATCCAGATAGCTGAACGTGGTATCCAGCCCCACCCATGACCGGTATCGGCTACTGGCCAATTATGCTGAAAGGTGATCAGCAATCAGTATCTGCCCCAAAATACTGACTAGCTGGTTCTATTAAGACTAAGACTATATATGTATATTCTACAAACTATAGTCCATCTGTTTCTCTGATACTTTGTTAGCCCCCTTTTACCCTGTTCTTCAGTGGTCAGGACCCCCATGGACCCTCACAGAGCAGGTACTATTTGGGTGGTGGATCATTCTCAGCACTGCAGTAACACTGACGTGGTGGTGGTGTGTTAGTGTGTGTTGTGCTGGTGCGAGTGTCCACTCACTGTCCACACTGTGTCCACTCACTGTCCACTCTATTAGACACTCCTACCTTGTCAGTCCACCTTGTAGATGTAAAGTCAGAGACGATAGCTCATCTGCTGCTGCACAGTTTGTGTTGGTCATCCTCTAGTCCTTCATCAGTGGTCACAGGACGCTGTTGGCTGGATATTTTTGGTTGGTGGACGATTCTCAGTCCAGTGACACTGAGGTGTTTAAAAACTCCAGCAGCACTGCTGTGTCTGATCCACTCGCACCAGCACAACACACACTAACACACCACCACCACATCAGTGTTACTGCAGTGCTGAGAATGATCCACCATCCAAATAGTACCTGCTCTGTGGGGGTCCATGGGGGTCCTGACCACTGAAGAACAGGGTAAAAGGCGGCTAACAAAGTATCAGAGAAACAGATGGACTACAGTCTGTAACTGTAGAACTACAAAGTGCACCTATATAGTAAGTGGAGCTGATAAAATGGACAATGAGCGTAGAAACAAGGAGGTGGTCAGAATGTTATGGCTGATCTTTGTAAATATATAACAGTATTTATATCATGTATTAACCCCTTTCAATTCTACTACCTCCTGCTCACATATGCACTTTACATTACACAATATCCTTGTATTTTATTATATATCTATATTTTTGGACTTTATATTTTGTTAAACATTTCACTGTTTGATTATTATGTGGAATCGACACTTGGAATCGACTCCATCGATTCCCGTCGCTTCCAATCGGAGTCGACTCCGAAGCTTCAGGAATCGAACAGCGCTACTAACCGGCTTAATCTGCTCGGGAAGCTCCCGCTAATCCGCCTCAGTTCCGCATACAATCAGTTTTCTGCACAACAGTAGCGAAAAAGAAGTGGAAAAGCACTGAAAGAAGTTCCTTTTGGAGGAACTTCAGTGAGTCAAAACTGCAATAAGAGTAACGGATCCGAACGTTAGAGCAGCTCCGAGTGTTTCTGCGCTCGTACTGTTTGTTTTCCCGACACTGCGAGGACCCGGCTCGCTGTTTAGAGCACGGGTTTAAAGCTGTTTGTTGAACATCCGCAGTAAAAGCGCTGTAAATGAACTGAGCTCAATAATAATCTCTCACTTCATGTCTGTCGCCGTTTCCCCGCCGTCTGTTTGTATCTCGGACGCTTTTCTGGTCTCCATGGCAAACACACACCAGCAGTGACGGAACAGAGTGACTTTCTGTGTGAAGTTGTGTTAAAGCGCCCTCTAGCGTTGGGGCGGATTGGTCAAGTGAACTTCGTTATTCAGGTAGGAAACTCAGGTGGTCAGTAGTTCAGAAGCGCGTACACATGACCTACAGAGGTCCAGAGAGGCCATGGGGTAGTTACAATTCTCTGGGCTGTTCTCCTGAGATCACGACTTAATTGTCTTGTCATTTCAAGATGAGCTGTGATCTCCAGAAAACAACTTTTGTTATCTTGAGATCACAAGAAAAATAGGTTGCGATATCCCTGCTAGAAAAACTCTGTCGCTGCTGTCGGAACAAAACTTTGTATCTCCATTTTTTGTCGTTTTTCAATTTCTGACATTTTCAATTCTGTACATTTCATAATGAGTGGATCAAAACAAACGGCCCAAAATTACTTGCTGGTGGTTACAGTGATTTACAGTACAGTAGGTTTTTTCCTTCTCCTGTAAAGTTATTATTTTGGAGATATGTGGTTTTGTTCCAACAGAAGCAAAAAGTTGTGTTTTGGATGCTGGTCAACCAGTACGACCATGCTGGGTGACCAGCTAAACCAGCACCAGACCAGCATAAACCAGCTTAGACCAGCATAAACCAGCTTAGACCAGGATGTTTTTTTCAGCAGGCATTGAAAAAACAACTTCTGTTATCTTGAAATCACAAGACAAATGAAGCAGCTTCTCCTCTGCATGGTACCGGCTCGACTCGACCCGACTCACCTTTTATAGTTTTCCACTAAGCAAACCCGGTACCTGGTACTACTTCGGAATCACCCCCATCTGCTGAAGTCGCTTCTCATTCTCCAGCTTGTTGTTCGAATTGTCCCGTTCCACCTTAAATAGTGCAGCAGTTACATTCTGTGTAGAGAACCGCTTAGTGTAGACGTTACCATGACAACCAGTCAGAGTGAGATGAGCAGCAGTGAGCAGCGCTTGTGTTTTTAACTGCTTTAAAATGATGTCAGACTCAGGAAAACGTCCTTCACATGTCCTTATTAAAGAAGGCCGAGAGGAAGACGTCGTGTTCTGAGACACATAAGCTGGACGTCCGTCCCACCGCCGTCTTTTAAAGATCAGAGCATAAACTTCGTCTCCTCTGCGGACCAGTTTCTGCTCTGCCATGTTGAACGGTGTAAACTTTCACTATGACACGACGAACATGATCAGAACGGACTTAAACTTTCTGATAGGGAATGTAATCAGATACAGGCGTTTACACGGATATTATTCTTCTATTTAACAGATTATTTACAGGATTACCCACCTCGATCAATCGGATAGAAACTGCATTAGACTATTCTGACTTAGGTGTTTACATGGACATATTCTATTCCGATTTAAAAAGAAACATCTTTTCTTTAAGAATGCATATAAAATAGCAAGTTCCTAAACAATTCTTAAAAGTACTGGATTTAGAGTCTGTAAAAAAGTTTTTATAATACATACTCTTATATATTATTATTATTAAAGATTATATACAGACTGTAGTTACATGGCTCCCTTCACTGACTGCAGTACTGTAGCATGCAGCTGTAGGCAGAGCTGCCTCTTACCATAAAGCCATATAAGCAGATACGTCCTTAGGTGAACCACCAGGGGGCCCCCTAGAGCAGGATTTCTTAACCGGTGGGCCTCAAAGCACCCTCTGGCGGTCCTCAGGCCAATCCTTAGGGGAGGCCAGAGGTCCTTAATGGGCCTGTGATGGCACTTTGTCCAACTGCGCAAAAGCTCTGCCAGTTTTTTGCTCTCGACTCTAAAAACAAAAAATTCTCCCGTTTCACAAAACTACAGAAATGTCCACTTAGTTGACGTCAGTGAGCACGAACAGCCAATGAGCTGCTCCGCTTGCCAACCAATCAGCTAGTGACAAGTAAGTGGGCCTTGAGGTGGAAAAGGTTGAGAACCCCTGTTCTAGAGTGTGTAGCGTTTATGAACTGGGGCTGCAACTAACGATTATTTTCATTGTCGATTAATCTGTTGATTACGTTTTCGATCAATCGATTAGTTGTTGGATCTATAAAATGTCAGAAAATGGTGAGAAATGTCGATCGGTGTTTTCCAAAGACCAGGTTGATGTCATCAAATGTCTTTTTATTTCATCCACATCCCAAATATATTCAGGTTGATGTCACAGAGGAGTAAAGAAAGCAGGAATCAGAATTTTTACTTACTTTTCGTAAAAATTACTCAAACCGTTTAATCGATTGCTGATTAAATTAATAGTCGACAGCTAATCGATTAAACAATTTATTGTTGCGGCTCTGTTATGAACATACAGTCTTGTGCAGAGTTTGGTCAAATTCCATGTTTTGTTGATTTTCTGAGTGTAAATAAATAAAGACTTCCTCTACCGAAAACACACTTCTGCACAGTTTAACACACAGTTACTGTTTATTTACTAAATTAAATATATTGGGGAGAAAAATAAACCAAAATGTGGCTTGTGCAAAAGTTAGGGCACCTTTTACATTTTTCCAATATGTTAAAATCAGCAAATAAATAGATGTTGCACTAAAATGTACAGTTTGAGCGTATTTGTGTTCTCTGTAGAGGATGTGTTCATTTATTTTCACTTACAAAATCAACTAAATGTCATTTGATTGGGCGCGTTCAAAGTTTGCATATCGCTGTTGTTGGAACAAAACCTCATATCTCCAAAATGGTAACTTTACAGGAGACGGAAAAAACCTACTTTACTTTTAATGTAAGTCAATGGAACCAGACTTTTTTCAAGTCATTTTGGGTCGTTTCTTTTGGTTCATTCATCATGAAATGTACATACAATGTAAAGGGCATCAGGTATTTTCAGAATATGTCAAAAACTGAAAAACGTCAAAAATGCATGG